CACCGGAAGTACCAGTAATTGCCGCCTTTTTGTATAGTGGCTGCCAAATTCTTCGGATTTCGAACGGCTCGGCAACCAGTCGAGTTGGGCGTCGTTCCGATAGTTTAAGGGGTCTTTGAAGTCCCGTGTGATGTCAAATTGAGAGTATTTAGCAGAGAAATACAGTAAAACAGCAAGCCCACCAGTAAGGGGACACCACAATGCCAGTGGAGCTACGAATTTGGCAAGCCGTTTTAAATGCCAAAAATTGGCAAGCTTGGCCCGGAAATACTCTCCAGCTTGCCAAAATTTGGCAAGCTTATGAAGAGTGCCGACCGAAGCTTGTCAAATTTTGGCATTCAAAACGGCTTGCCAAATTTGTGGCAAGCAAACTTACCACTGTATTTGCAGTTGGGGGGGGGGGGCATCTAGTAACAGCACGCGCTGAAGAAAGCGTACTCGTGAGTACACGCTAAAGAGAGTGTACTGAGTACACCGTTGAGTTTGCAGAGTACTGTGTACATCATTCTTTCCGAAATGTTTGAGGTCACAAGAGTACTACAGTGCAATAACGAGTGAATCCAAAAAAGCACGTCTTTGTCAACAGCAGGAGGACGTCAATGACGCCGACGGCAGCCGCCGCTGGGGGAGCTCCCGACTGCCACCGCGGCCCTCGCCGCCAATACTACCAAGATGCCCACGCTGCGACAAGGGGTTTTCCCGCGCGAGGGACATACCCCGACACATGCAGAAATGTGATTTCTAAGAAACAGATCTTTTGCAGACTACATTTTGTTTTTCTTAATTTAGACTCTGTGCACTTCTAACGTAGTTATGGACAATGGTGCCCGAACTTTTGGTTGAAGGACTTTGATGTAAAGGGAACAATTTCATACAGAGGTACAGTAAATTAGTGGTTTCATTATCATTTCATGAAATGTAAATTTCTAAATCGGTTAAAACAATTTTTCTCCAAAAGTGAAATTTAAAAATATGTTTTGCGAAAATAAAAGAACAGAAACAAATATGAGTGGTCATTAGACAGAACAACCCATTTTCAATGGGTTTCCATGTGACTTACGCCTTAATGCCCAACGGCCGCTGATATCACTGTTATACATACCCTCAAGCTTCACTGCTTACAATAACGTCATGATGCCTATTCGAGGCAAGTCAAGGCTCTCTGGTTTCAGATTAAAGGTACATTTTGAAGCAAAATATTTGCTTCATGCCCATGGAAGTGTCCTTCGAAGATCATCGGCACAGAAGTGCGCCAAGCACGCAATAGAACTTGCAGGGTCATCGTCCTTCACTCTATTTTCGTATATGGTTCTTCTTGACGTACTTTGTGTTCTTGATTTCTTCACATACTTCTAAGATTTTGAGATCTGATGGTAGTTAATGTTGGACCTAAAATGAGAGTATATTTACATTTAAACAGACGTCATTTCAGCGCATCAAACATGTTAAATTTACCAAAGCAGAGATACTGCGTTCCTTCACTATATCCTAGAAAGCACTGCATCGTTCAGGCTTATTTTTCGCAGCTGAGAAGCTGTTTTACTTCATTTCTCTGCTAAATACTCTCAATTTGACATTACACGGGACTTCAGAGACCCCTTAAACTATCGGAAAGACGCCCAACTCGACTGGTTGCCGAGCCGTTCGAAATCCGAAGAATTTGGCCGCAAGTATACAAAATGGCGGCATTTCCTGGTACTTCCGGTGACCTCATCGTTGTTCTGACATTGCTAATTCGCATTCGAAGGCAAAGCTCAGCGCGCTCTATCTGCTCGTGGTGGGCGCAATTTGAACCACTCCGGAGGTCCGTGGCGACTAACCCCAACACAATTGTCACTCTCTTATTTGCTTTGTCACTTTAAAATCACTCTCCAGTACAAAGATCTAAGTCACCGTTATTGTGAAAATGCCTTTTACTTAACCCAGTTTTAACCTCTTTGCGGTTTTTGACGCTTTCAAGTCTAGAGGTCCATGGTGACGTCACAGCCGACTGTGTCGCGCTCCGACGCCTTCGAATGCGATTAAATTCCCAGACCTCGAATTATGCGGAAACACGGGCGGCAGGAGCAAAGGCCACTTTAACAGCAGAATGTCCTGCTACGCGACCGTGTGGCAGCCAAATGAGGTATTTTGCGATAGTGAAGAAGAGAAAGAAGAAGATGCGGCGGTGGGGGTAAAACATCACAAACCCTCATTTGTTTGGCGGCCATGATGGCCCCCACCCACCCCCGCCCCGCCCCGCAAGCAGATGCACTGCCTAAACAAATGAGTGTTTTTTATGTTCTACCCCCACCGCCGCATCTTCTTCTTTCTCTTCTTCACTATCGCAAAATACCTCATTGGCTGCTACACGCCCGCGTAGCAGGCACCTTTTTGCCGTGTAGCCTAGTCTCGCGCAGGATGCCCCTTGTCCCGCCCACAGTGGAGTGACTGGCACGAGGGTAGGTGGAGCGAATCCTGCCTGCAGGTCCGACTAGACAACCCATCGTACGCAGGCGTATTCAGTAGGCGACATGCCCGTTAGAAAAGGCAATAAGGACGAGAAACTTAATTTGAGTGTCATCAGATGGGACAACCTCAAACACCAAAGCGTAAACCCCAACAGCAGAGCGCAGGGGCGCGCGCGTGTGGCGCGAGAGTAGGATAAAGGTGAAAAGTGGGTATGCAGAGGTCCACAAGAATCACTCGTTCTCCGAAACTAAAAACAATGCTTTCTGTGGTTAGTCCTTTTTGATTAGAGAAGGTATTGAGGTAAATTTTAAGCCAAACCCCATCCAATTTGGTTCAGGTACTACATAGTTTGCATCATTTTGAAGAATTGCCTCAAAATTATGAAAAATAAAAAACTGACCTCTAGGTGGTCGAATCGATTACGATTTAATCGAAATCGATTTCAGGTGGTCGATTTTCGATCCAAATCGTAATCGATTTGACGTGCGATTAATCGAAAAAATCGATTTAGGCGATCGATTTTCGATTTACCTAAATTTGCGCTATTTTCGCTCATTTGGCGCTTCTCAGAAATCAAACTGCGGTGATTTGGTGAAATTGAAGACTAGGAATCATTGCCACCAAGTTCAAGATGTAATCATCAAAAACAAGCCTACAAGTAATCGTGCTGCTGTGCGTGAGGAAAACATGCAATTACGTCAAATCCTGGCCGGCCATTGTATTATACAGGGAGACCAGCACGTTTAGAAAGTCGCAACAAATAAACCCCATTTTACGCATTCAGAGGCACGCGATAGTAAATTTACTGAGATAGCTGTTCTGACCCATTAACACTCTGTTCATTCCGGAATGTATAAGTTCAAATAAAGATTGTAGGCTCCTAAGGCATCATACACATGTAAGTGCAAAGAAGTCGCAAGGGCATACTTTTACCTTCTTTACCGTCAAATACATTCAGACCAGGATTGTGAAGAGTGACTCGTACAAGCAGAGCATCCAATCTGAGCCGCAGGCATTTAAAACGCAATTTACTAAGAAAGGCAGAATCGAAAACTCGTAAAGTTGAAAAATCGATTCATCACGTTAAAAATCGATTTTGGGAAAAATCGATATCTTGTTACGATTCGTACATCGATGAATCGAAAATCGATTCAGAGTGTTGAAAATGAAACCCTATGACCTACAACCTTTGGACAGGTTATGCATTTTTTTTTTCATTTTTCATCCTCTTTCCAACGGTATATCCATTTAGCCTCTACAAAGAATACTTTCGGAGATATTCTCAAGTTTATCGGCGTGACTCTTGATCGGCGTGAATATCGTGTCACGCCAATGTTTGGCCTGCCTTTTTGTCACGCCATAATTTGTCCATGTGTCCGACCATTACGTTTTCAATGTGCGTTTCACGAATTTCATGCGCAACAACGCTTAGTTTTTCTACGCGCCAATGCACGAAATTAAACATGCACTTCGTAACGCACAAATTTGTGCATTTTCAAACACATGCACAGTTTCGTGCATAGTTTGTGCACAAAAAACTACAAAGTAATTTAGTGTGCGTGACATCTCGTTAAAACTAATGTGACGTAAATGTCACGTTCCTACATACGTTTGGATGTGATTCGGCCATAAATTAGCTCATGCACATTCAACGAATGTGACACAATGCTCAAAGGAACGTGACACTTTGTCACATTCGCCAGCGTGACGTCACACACTAAATTTTATGTACAAGTTTGTACGAGACATCACAACTTTTTGGTCACACGAAATTTTCGTACAATTTTCGTACGAAAAACTGCACATTTTCTCCATTTTGGTACAAAATTGTACAAAATTTTGTGCAAATGTGTAAAGTTTGTGTGCACTAAAAACTGTGATGTCTCGTACAAAATTTGTACAAAAACATTTAGTGTGCACGTTCCTGAAATGAGGGTGCACTTTTTGGTTCGTTTCCAGATTCAAAAGCAGGCGGTGGCGTTGCCTTTGATCATCTTCAGGGAGTACTGGAATGCCGCTAACCACAGTACACGGGAGGACCATTGCCGGGAGCTATACGACCTGTTTGTGAAAGATGCCCTGGAACCGGTAAGCGCGCGAAAAAGGGGGGGGGGGCACGGGCCAGGCATGCACAAAAATGTTATGTACAATTTGTACGAGACTCACAGCTTTATGTGCAGGTTAACTTTTTGTACAATTTTTAATTTTTGTGCGGCAAACTCCATATATTTCTCCTCTTTTTGTACAAAATCGCGTTCTAATCTGTACGGAAAGTTCATGCATCTGCTTAAAAATCTGTAACGTCTCGATCCGAATTTGGTACGAGACATCACAGTTTTTGGTGCACAAGACCTTTTCATACAATGTTTGTACGAAAAACTGCACAAAACCCCCCTATTTTTGTGCAAAATCACCTACCAATTTGTACGAAAAGTTCGTGTGCACCGAAAACGGCGATGTCTCGACCAAAATTTGTACAAAGACATTTGGTGTGTAAGCAGTTTAGCCTATAAGGTTCATTTCTTTGTCGGGTCGAACATAGTTCGTAAGGTTTACAGTGTGTGACGTGGAGTGCGGTTCACGTTGCAGGTCAAGAAGCTGGACGGGGTGGACTGCAAGAAGCGTCCCACCTGGTGCAAGTTGCTGCTGCAGTGTGTGGCCCCGCGCGTCGAGTGGCTTCATTTAAGCTTTGCCCTCCGTGAGCACCTGGACGTGATCCACGACATGTCCGCCCTGCGCTTTTGTTCGTCCACATGGCGAAGTGTGGCACGGTGGCCCCGGACCTGCCGCTGCAGCTGGAGGACCTGGAGGTGCGGAACGTCCCGGAGCAACACTTGCAGACGGTGCAGCGCATGCCCAACCTGCGCAAGCTCACCTTGACCTGGAGCAGTGTTCCGCTCGATGTGGCCTTCCCCCCTCTGCCTCCGGACCACCGCGGCCTGCAGTGGCTCCAGGTGCTTCTCCGCCCCGTCTCCACCGTGCTGTCGCTGGCCAAGGCCCACGCCGCCACCCTGCAGGACCTGCGGATCATGTGCGCGTCGGAGGGAGACACGCCGTGGCACTTCAAAGACCTGGCCGAGGGGCTGGGGCGGTGCGGGCTGGTGGCGCTGCGGCGCGTGGTGCTGCTGCGAGGACCCGCTCCACGCTTCCCCGACAACAAGCTCCCCCACAGCGAGGAGTCATGTCGGCCGCAGAAGCACGCCGTCTGGGACAGCCTGCTGGCGGCCAACTCCGAGACCCTGAGGGTGGTGACGGTGCTGTGCGCGGAGTGCGACGAGTGCCCTGCTTTCCCTGCTCTGGGAGAATTCACCCAGATTGAATAGGTTCCGTGTGATTCTAAGCTGGCAGTCGGTGCAGCGCTTGCGTCGCCACCCCGTCACTGTGCTCGCACTCAGCTGTGCTGACACTGGGCCAGGTTGCTGTCAACTGTGCCGCGCGCCACCGCGCTCCATGTTAAGGGCTTCGCTAACAAAGCTAACTGATGTTTTATTTGAGAATAAAACCAATTTGATCTTGCTGAACTCCTCTCTGATTTCTGCCTCCTGAACACCCTGTGGATCTACAACAATTACAATCTTAACGAAAATTTTAAAAATAAAAGAGCAAGTTGCACGGACAAAATTCTACCTAAACATTTAGTTTGCGGTATATCGCATCGGACGAGAGCTGAGTTTGCTTCGAGGCTTGGCACGGTAGCGAGATCGGCTGTTCAAGGTATTTGGCCTCCGAGTTTTTATCCTCATTTTTGTACTGAAGTGTCAGCTGTGCGTGCATGAGCGTCGAGGCATGTCCTTGAACGAAGCTCGATCGACGTAATTCCGCCATGTAGTGGATATGCTGGCGAAAGGTCTGCCTTAAGAACTTGCGACGACTTCCAGAGGACAACGATCAACAGGGCGGTAATGGATTGCTTATCAGTGCTGGTCAGGCTTTGGTGGATCGGCTGGTCGATGGACTCCACGGCCCAGTGCTCGCTCAACCGTCCTGGAGGGCGCAAGCAGAGCGGACCCATACCAGTTCGATACGTACCATTCAGGGGTGCGTCCAGCAATCTGTGGTAATATTGGAGACTAAACTACGAAGTAGTTTTATCTGCATAAGCTGTGCACAAAATTGTGCATGCGTTTTAAAATGCACGAGTTTGTGCGTAACTAAGCACGAAAGAGTGAGTTGTTATGCCCGAATTTGTACGTTACACGCGCATGCTCAATTCTGTGCAGAACCCATCCTGTGGAGGACCCAATTCCAATTCGTACCAACATTATTCCTCTAGGCGACTACCGAAATATTGTTGCCCGCTCATTGGACGCATGTTTATTTAGAATGTGTAGCATGGAACGTGCACGATTTTTTGCATGTGGAATTTACATCATACTATGCGCAAAATTGCATAAATTAATGAAAATTTGAGCAGAACTTTATGCAAAACGTCGTCCTCTTGCAGAATCCCAGCTCTTCTTGTGCCGCTCGGAGGATGTCTTTACAACCTATGTGGCCTCTACTGGGGTTCGCTCGCCTTTGCGGTTTGAACCCTGCTGGAAACCCACCAACTTACAAACTATCACCATGGTAACATTTCTAATGGATCACATCTCACGTTTCACATATCGTGAGACGGGGTACTTTCGTCCACTTAAGAGAGGTGTTCCCGAAACTATGAGTTGTGGTTTTGCGACGAACCGTGAGAATTTGCCATCTACCAACCCTTAGCTTCACAATCGATAAATTGTAACCTCAAATTTTAAAGAACACGGCAAAACCATTGAAATTTACTCCATGACTGGTTAGGATTGCAGGTCTTTCTATATTGGTTTCATCCTCGATACTGTTCGGGTCTGCATACGCACTCCAGCAGCAACTCTTCATTATTCTGTTCGTGCCGAGCGAGGACACTTCCACGTTATTCGGGACTCTGCTTCATGTTAATGGCATGGTAAATAGATGCAGAATTGATTTTCTTCAAGTAAAAGCGAACACGGGGCATGCCGCATGATTGCTAAATAGAGGAAAACGGAAAGTCCCTTTACCTGGGACGTGCCCGATCACATGTATGAGTAATGCACTAACTTTGATTTCCACTCATGATCAACATCAATTTGAGTTGGCTCCTCCAAATAATAAAATTTACTGTTTTTAACCAGGCGGTGGTGTTCCTCGGACACCTTGGCTTAACTGCTGGCACGCTGAGAAAGATGAAATACTTCCCACAGGCGCTGCAGCAATGTAACTCCTTACCGGGTCCGAGTCGGAGCTGGTCGTCAACAGCTAGTTATACATTAGAGGTAATAGAACCCAATGAGTAATCATTTCACCGACAATCATCTCAAGGGTTTTCGTTACCTTGGCTGAGATCCACTCAGATTCTTACCGTGTAACATACGTTGAAGTGAAAACAAGCGTACAACAAACTTCATCGTACGTTACGATAGCATAATACGATGATATGAGATGTGGAAATCACACGTCATTCGATAAATTGATGCCTACCTTACATTGTTAAATACACTGGTAAAACTGAAGAGTACCTCCATGCTTGAGTCAAGCCAAAGCGTTACGCTTAAAGACATTACGCAACTAAGCATACACTAGAAATTTCCCCACACATCTAAATACGGTGAATGACCAATCAGCCCGTTAGAGTTTGTTCAAAATTGTACGAAAATTTCGTGTGCACAAAAGTCTGTGATGTCTCGTACAAAATTGTACATAACATTTAGTGTGCGAGTTCTGTGTCCTTACGTGCCACTGCGTAGTCCTGCTGCGCTGCTTCTGCGCGCTGTCGGATGCGGAGCTGTCATTCCGCCGGGGAATAGGTTTTCTGTTTCACGGGTTCGACCTTCTCCGTCTCAGAAGAGAAATTCTTTCTTTCATTTCTTTTTTTCTAGGTCATAATCCTGTTCGGCCTAACAAGTGCTCTTCGAATGTTGGTCTACTTCCATTTGGTAAGAAGGAAAAAAAGAGACTGTTTTTTATAGTGTGTGGGGGTGGGGGGGGGGGCACAGTGGGCCAGAAGACCAGTGGAGGCGGCCAAAACTCTAGACGCGTTTTGAGCACCAGAGTCGCTTAACAGGACTCGAATCGAACGCGTGACCCCACCAATGGATTCCTCGTCCGGAGAGCAACCCATTGATGGGGTCACACGTTCGGTTCGAGTCCCATTTAGCGACTCTGGAGCTCATAATGCGTCTAGAGTTTTGGCCGCCTCCACCGGTCTTCTGGCCCACTGTGAGAGGGCCGCATGACAGCAAAGTGCAGCTCTCCAAATCGCAATCAGTTTGATGAAAACGGGTTCAAGGTTCAAACGCATTACATCAAATGACGCAATAAGTCAGTGATTGGATTTTCAGTGTACCGCAGGGCCAAGTGCTTGTTAAGAGAAACTGGGGGGGTTCTTCACGCATCAATAGTAACGAAGACAAGCATCTTTAAAGCAAGGCGAAAACGGCTCCTGGAAGACTGTATAGTCAGTCCTACGGAGAATACTGTAAGAGCCTACGGAGAATATTGACAAGGGGGCTGCGAAGAATTACCACAAGCTGTTTACATAATTTTCCGCAGCTTTTTGCCACAGCATATGTAATGTGCCCCTGGAAGTCAAAGGGTGAGACACCTGAACAATTTTCAGCCATGCAAAAAGTGTCACCGACAAAAGGTCGTACACAATTGTACCACCGAAAAAAAGCGGTGTATGACCGCAGAACTGTCAGACATCAGCGAGATTGAGATTGGCCCTCGTTTACGGGCTATATATCACCTTCATCGGTGATACAAAGAAGTATCTCCCTTTTTCGGTCGCTCGAAAAAGGATCACAGTTTTTTCGGCCATGGAAAAAAAGATCGCCCTTTTTCGGTCATACAAAAAAGATCACCCTTTTTCGGTCATTCAAAAAACGATCACCCTACCGGTCATACATTTTAGTAGGAAGAAAACCAGCGATTTCTAGAGGATCCCTGCGAAAAACTAGGAACCGTTCCTGTCGGGTACGCATTGTTGTAATCAGTTTCAGGATGATTATGCGGAGAATCCCAGGCCAGGAAAACAACTTTCCAGTTTACGAATGAGTTCAAAGTTATGAATTACAACGCTAACGCTCGCGATATCGTTGAGTGAGACAGACCTTTGAGATGAGTTGCGGATCCATGAAGACAACAACGCACCGGATATTCTAATTCTCAGTCATCGATTCATTCGTTTTGGCCTCTCCGAACAGGGTGGAACGCTGTTTAAGGCGATTGGGGACTCCGTCGTCGCGCTGGTCGGACTGTCAATCACGGACCAAATCCTCTTCATGCACTTGGTGCGGCACGTGGGAACCTGCTTCGAAGGCGTCAACGAGCGCTTGAGGACGCTGCGCGAAGGTCTGGGTCTGGGCCCCGTAGGTGTCCACTGCCCAATCACTGGAGCCGTAAACACTGAGAATGAAAATGTCATGATCAATACCCAATTTTGGGCGAGGTCTACTTTATCACTCAAAGTTAACTGTTAAAAAAGCCGTACATTTCAAGGAAAAAGGTACGGCTAGACCGTACCTCACGGTGTACAGTGCAACCGTACCCAAAAACCGTGCTTCCCATAAGAGCCCTGTGAAAAACCGTACTCCGTACCCCAAAAGCCGTACTGGCTGAGGTACGGTGGTACCAGGCAAATTGTCTACCAGACTACACTGGTGAAACAAAGGCATTAAAATTATGCCCTTTAAGGGCGTAAACGATTTACGCCCTTAAAGGGCATAAATCGTTAAATCGTTAAATAAATCGTTAAAAGGGCATTAAAATTTTGCTTGAAATTCCTATACCATTTACGCCCTTCCCAAGGGCATAAAACGATTTATGCCCTTGCAAGGGTGTAAAAGAGTATTTATGCCCTAAAGGGCGTAATTTTTATGCCTTTGTTTTACCAGTGTATGTCTGTACCTTTTCCCGTGGATTTTTTCTATAGTGTTGGCCGAGGAAACTTTCCTTGCCCAAATTTGGGTGAGGAAGGTTCTATCACCTACCTAGGGTCAGGGCGGGGAAGAACTGGACGTTTTGCAATCTTTCTCGATTTTGACTCTAATTGACTATCTTTAGCCAATGTATCCGTTGGGTCTGTTGATCGAGCCTCAAAGAAAGACATTTCAACCCTCAGCGAGTGCGTTTGCGGCTTCATTCAGTAATAAATGAGAAAAAACAGTGTGCGATTCTTCCCCGTCGAAACGGGGAAAAATCGAACACCTAAGGGGGAAAATCGGACATAGGCTTTAATTTAACAAAAACCTATGAAAGTAGGTCAGAAATCTCTTGGGAACGATATTTGGGGGTAACACTTGGTATACTCACTGACGCAGGCGCACGAGTACTCCTAGGTAGACAGAAATCATCGTAGCATTGTCAGGGGGTCCGTGGCGGCACGTTTTTGAGGTTAAATGACCAAAATGTATGAAATCGTCAACAGCCGTGTTTGTTTTCCCACCAAATGTTGGGAAATGCTAAAATACACTTGTTACGACCACTTTGGTGGGGTGTTAGGGCAATTCGTCGATTATTATAGAAAAAAGAGGTATTCGATTTTTCCCCGCACCAGTGTACTGTTTTTCCCCCATTTCGTATTTAACCCTTCATATGTAATCCAGCTGGAAATCTGCTAAAACATTTGAACGTATCTTGGGCTCCACACTTCCAACTTTCGTTTACAATAAGAATATTCGTCACAGTAGGCTCGGAAAGTCGTTAAAAAGAGATATTCCGGGCACCAACTTTGAAAGTTTTTAAGGTGTTTTAAACGAGGCCTCGTTTCAAGGTGACTTTGAATACTTTCCGGTTCAAGTAGGCTAAATTCCTCTTAAACGTAATCTAGCAGATCATCAATAAGCAATGCTGAATACTTTGCACGTCCCATAACAGGCAAATTTGTGGCGAAAGTGCGGTGTGCGTTTCTTCCCCAACTTGCAGGTGTCCGGTTTTTCCCCGCCCTGACCCTATATGGCTCCATAGTATTATGACCCAAATTTTGGGTGAGGAAACCTTCCTCACCCAACATTTTAGCCATGATCATGAGTCTTTCCTTCTCAGTGAACACTGCACATTCGTCCTTAAGAGAAACGTTCCCGATACAAAGTATTCTCAGGTAACTTTCAAAAATGGTCAGAGCACTCTAAATGTCTTACAATGAAATTTGACCTATGTTATTCGTATGTTACAGTGAATTCGGCGCAAGCATAATACGAAGCAATATTCCTTTGTAATACGAATCTTTTTAGCTTTTTCATTGTACTCTACAAATCAAAGAGTGTACATGGTACGCTCTAACTGGAGCATGCCTGCAAGCACGCTCTAGCTGGTGCATGCCTGCCAAGCATGCACCAACTAGTGCATACATGCAATGTACACGCTAACTGAAGCATACATTTACTGCATAAGGGATAGGGAGTTTTCTGCATCAGGAAGCGTGTACATGGCATGTATGCACTAGTTAGTGCATGCTTGGCAGGCATGCGCTAGCTAGAGCGTGCTTCCAGGCATGCTCCAGTTAGAGCATACTATGTACACTCTTTGATTTGTAGAGTAAGAAACAAAGAAAAACCTTCGTAATACGAAGAAAAACCACCTTCGTATTATGCCTGCGCCATTTCCTTCGTAATATGGGAAATTTCTTCGTAAGACATTTAGAGTGAGCGCCAGTGCGTGCTTACGAATTGTTCGGATAAGAAAGTTAAAAGTTTGCTCCTCTTTTAGATTCTTGCGAACACACTTGTTCACGAGCTTTTAAGTACGTGCTAAATACTTAACAGTGTTGCATAAACATTTAGTGTGAAGCGAATTGCCTGCTTGCTTACCGAACATGTTTCCCCCAAATATTAATTCATTTAAATTAAATCAACCACACTCTAAATGTCATACGAAGAAATTTCCCATAATACGAAGAAAATGGCGCAAGCATAGTACGAAGGTGGCTTTTCTTCGCATTACGAAGGTTTTTCTTAATGAAAACGGTTCAAAGATTCGTGTCACGAAGAAATATTGCTTCGTATTGTGCTTGCGCCGAATTGACTGTAACATACGAAAAACATAGGTCAAATTACATTGTAAGACATTTAGAGTGCAAAGCTCCAAACTCAATAATTTAGGATACCCCAATCGTTCTCATGACTTGAAGAGATTTCGTTTGTCCAGGCCCTGTCAACTCCCTTATCCGCGAAGACCCTTATTTATGTGCTCTCGCTGCCAAATTTTGAAAATGGGCATTTATTGCAGGGTGTGCCAACTATTTCGCTTAAAATTTGGAAAAAAAAAAATACTGCGGAGTGCGTTGAACCTCTTGCCTCACGCGCCCAAACATATGTTGGTCTCTGAAATCATCCTGATGAAAAGTTCAAATCTGCTTTTGGAAGATTTGCGTATGGTGAAATATACGTTGAGTAAAAGCCGCTTCGGAAAACTGGGCGCGAACGCAAACACATGCGTCTCTCATTTGCCACAAGATCCAAAACCTCAAATGGATTGGCAATAAAAGGGAGCTGTAGACAAGGGGTGTGTGGGGTTGAGACGCGTATGGCCCGAAGACGCTCAAAGGCATCGTTTACTCTACAAACTGAAGTGTATACTCAGTATGCATCTACAGATGCATACTTATAAGTACACACCTACAGATGCATACCTAGCTGAGTACACATCTACAGATGCATACCTTTTAAAGTATGCATCTGTAGGTGCATATTTGGGTAAGTATGCTTTAGTAGGTTTTACTTGTCACCATAAAAATTTGCCTAGTATCAAGTACACATCTACAGATGCATACTTGTCAAGTATGCTCTGTAGATGTGTGCTCACCCAAAGTATGCATCTGTAGATGTTACTCAGCTGGGTTTATGCTCTGTAGGTGTGTACTTATAAGTATGCATCTGTAGATGCATACTGAGTACACACTTCAGTTTGTAGAGTACGTTCGGCACGATAAAGGGACACCGAACCCCCGCAATGTCTCAGACATAGTTAAAACGCATTTTTGTCTTCGAGCAACGAACGAGCACTGCGAATAAACTGGCGCTACCGCTATTCGCAGTAGTTGCGCGACGTCTTCACATTAAGTAAAGATAAAATGCGTTCAAACCATAACGGAGACATTTCGGGGGCTCGGTATGCCTTACAACTAACTGCGTGCTGAACGTGAAGCAATGCCTTTCAGCGTCTTATCGGGCTAATTTTATGGCGCGTACCGACCTAGGCGCATGCGTGCGTGCAGGCTTTAACTTCTCACACCCCGGAAACGCTGATGCTGGTTGCCTCGGCCTGATAGTTTTCATATAAGCCCTCAATACTTTGAAAGAAATATTCAAGTACACTGCCTTACATGTCAGATCTTCAATTTACAGTTGTCATTTCGCGCAACTCGAAAGAAGGATACTTCAGCCCATTCGGGAGTAGAGACTCAATGCTCAGCGCCGAGTTGACTCGGCTCAGTGAACTGCATGGATCAGCATGCGATTTGATGTGTCTCCTCGCACTGACGCAGGTATCTAACTAGAGGGCACTGAAAATTACATAGAGACCTTATGTGTCAATATATGGCGAGACAAGAAGTCTCAGTAAGTTTTGGGGAGACTTTCAGGTCTCGCCAAAACTTGGCAAAGACTTTTTGTCTTATCTCTGGAATAGTATGGATTTGTAGTGCACATACACTGACAAATTTTCAGTCGTCACTTGATGACAATTTCAAGGCAAATTTTCTTTCAACAATGTCATCAAAACAATTAATGACATCGTTGTCACGCCTATGCAATAAGTATAGGATCTCTGATGAAAATGTCATCAATTTGTGATGAGATTCTCATAATTTGTGAGTGATGAAAATATCATCCACGTTTTTGTCATAAAGTGACAACAAATTTTCACAGTGTACTCATGCTCATGCGATACACTATACATAGAACAATGAAGTTCTTGCCTTCTCTCAAACTGTAATATATTTATATGCTTCTGAGACACATATCAACAAATTTTTGGCTCTTCAGTTCATACTCTGGTCGTAAAGAAGCTTCAAAATCCGAACGAAATTGTGATTTAACATATGCGCCCTCGGGAGGCCTGCTTTCAGCCCAATGGAGCCTAACCCCGTTACTTACCCGGACAATATTGATCCCAAATACAGCTCCAAAGTTTCGTCCACATCGGAATGTATCCATAGGTTTCTAGAAGAGCTGTCATTGAATGTTCCTATTGTGTAATTTACATTCTATTCCTCTTCTTCTATTGGTTTTTGTGTGTAGGAGATCCAGACGCTGACCATTATTATAGTAGAGTTTGTGGTGGTTGTTTTGACGCTCTATGTCTTGTCAATCGCGTTGTACTTCAGGGTAAGTGCACAGAAAACTGTTAAAACATTACCCATTAAAAAGCCTAGCGTGTTTTGTACACAGTTTGAATTAAAGTGATGCTTGAGAGATCTAGCTCGTGATCGAGAACTTCTCTGTTAGCTGAACTGTATGCACAGTACACTGGTAAAACTAAAGCGTAGTATTACCCTCTGTTTTCAAGCGTAATCTGTTTACGCTTGAAATCAAGCGTAACAGGCTTATCCGCCAAGATTTCCCCTATATAAATGCATGGGGGAATATCCAGAGTATGCTTCATTTCAAGCGTAACGTCTTCAAGCGTAACTTTATGCTTGACTCAAGCATAGAGTTACGCTTTAGTTTTACCAGTGTATATACTGCACACGTCGTACACAGTTCAGCCGACAGAGTAGCGAATTAATTACTTAACCCTCGTTATATTCCTGAATGCTGAAGTACCTCTCGGTGATCTACGTCGTTTTCTTTGGGGCAAGTATCGCCGCGTCCTTGGGTGCTGCAACAATGGCAGTGCTTCGGGCCTGCCACAGCACCAGTGCAAAGGTATGGAAACTCCAGGAAGATCCTCTATGAGCTGTGATATTATTCAATAGGAAATTCGCGACATGGATTAGGCCGAGAGAGCTCAATTAAACGTAAAAACTGTATCGTCTGCTCTCACGTAAACGTAAATCTTGAGCCCAGACCCCAAGCGATATAATTTACTGGCTTCGTATTTCAAAGTAAGGTGAGACAAAAAGACCTTGTATGGAGCCAAAATTACCACAACTGCTGATGTAAGCATGAATAAGCAATTTGGCCTAGGGCTGGAGCGTTATGCTTTAATTTAAGCTCTTTTAACAGGTTTATATTGTTTCTTTTTTCATTACCTTCATTATGTCGCTAGAACTGCCTGTGTGTCAATTTTAACTTTGCAGGGAAACGAGACAGCTGACCTGGTACACGATCTTCTTAACGGTGGAACCTTGAACGAGAAAGAAGCCCAACAGGTGCAGTTGATCCAGGAAGCGGAAGAAGGGGATAACTCAATTTTGGCCATTTTTCAGGAGAAACAAAAAACTGTTAGCAGGGAAAACTAAACCAAAACAAATGAATGTTGCACATGTTAATAATTTCAAAAAGCATTAGTAAAATTTTAAAAAAAAATCAAAAGTGTAAGGTCACTCCGTAGAGGATTTCTGCGACTATAAATTTCCGTTGAAAGGAAAACAGAGTCAGCTCACCTTATTTTTCCTAAAAAAAGAGGAATTTGGAGACAAGTCAAGTGGAACAATAGTCTGCATAAAGTGTATGTTACTTGGTGTATTTTTTGGACTTAGCTCTTTTTTCCAAATTAAAATTTTAAAAAATTTAGGGGGGGTTAAGTTGAGTTGATTTTTTTTACACTAGATTCATAAAAACACAAGTTGAGTTTATCCTTTTGCCAATTTGTCAAACGGACTCATGTAGACAAAGGGGTGAGTTATCTCCATTTTCCAATGAAATTTAGACTGAAAAAAGGGGTTTAAGTGGTTATCCCCTTTTTCCAAGTGGATTTTCTCCAAAAATGCTTGGAATTCAGTAAAATAATTTGGTGTAATGATGTAAACAATTCTAAGGCACAATAATAAAATAAAAACTCAATTTGGGGATAAGTCAAGTTATTCCCTTCTTCCGCTTCCTGGATCAGTTGTTAACTATTGCATTAAATCAACCAATTGTTAATGGTGTACGGTGTATTCTAGATCACTATTTCTGTGTGGACTACACTCTGAAAACCCTCATTGAAGGAAAGAAATGTTGACAGAACTCTTAGATCAATTTTGAACTCAGTGAAGGCGATTCATTAACTAAATAGCTTCACATCGGTTCAGCGAAATCTTGCTCTCAAAGTTCATCGCACTTACAAGAAACACGGCCATGAATTCAGTGCATAAATTTATTAAGAAAGTTACTCTCATGCGCTCTCATGTTGAGAATGGAAACCCCTTAAATGTTCCATATTATCAGAAAATGTGTTAATGCATGTAAGGAAAGAGTTTCTTCGTCAATTTTCTACGGATTGCTTTCCCTCTTCTATTTACCTCGTTAATATGAACAGTAGCCTTTTAGGCGGGCGTGATATTCTCCAAAATTTTGTGGAGACTTACGTGATTACAAGCCATTGAAGGTCCTGAGGAGAGGTCGACGAAAAACTTTACTCTATGGCAGCGGTTCCCAACCTTTTTTGGTTCGCGACCCCAAATTTTTAGCCAAAAATTTTCGCGACCCCCAGAAAAAATTTTGCGACCCAAAGCGACCCCTCCTTAGCATGCCTTTGTTACGGAGTGTGATAATCCGCCTTAGTTTTGGGAAACAGTATTGTCTCAAAATTGAAAAACGGGCACAAATGTCTGAAAAATCGTGTTTTTGGGGCCCACTTTAAGCATCTACTGCGTCTGATCCGAGGCGGTATTTCGTCCTCCCTCAACGGGCCAAAGGTCTTTGACCTTCCTTTTGCATGCCTTTGATACGGGAAAACGATTATCTGCCTTAGTTTGGGAGCAGTATTGCCGCAAAGTTGATCAAAACACGATTTTCAGACATTTGTGACCGTTTTTATCAAATTTGCGGCAATACTGCTCCCAAACTAAGGCAGATAAACGCACTCCCTAAAAAGGCATACTAAAGGAAAGGGTTTAAAGACCAATTCCCCTTGAGGGAGGACGAAATACCGCCTCGGATCAGACGCAGTGGATGCTTAAAGTCGGCCCAAAACACGATTTTTCACAGACATTTGTGACCACCGTGGGAAACCACCGCGACCCCAGGCGACCCCAGCCACCTCGCCGCGACCCCTCGCAATTTTTTCGCGACCCCATTTGGGGTCGCCCATTTGGGGTCGCGACCCCAAGGTTGGGAACCGCTGCTCTATGGAGATCTCCGCGCAAAAGGAACGGACAGTCTCTGTTAAATTTCCGCATTTTACGGACTTTTCCGACAGTGCAGCCCATAATTTGACTTCAAACGTGAAACAAGTTCGTGTAATTTTCCGACGTAATTTCAATCAAATGAAAATTGCCAAACAAGTGAGAAATAACGGAACATACTGTTTCTTCTCATTGATGTGCTTCCATAGTGTGTGCCCGCTTCACAACCTTACGAAGTATTTTTAGCATATGTACGGTACAATCTATTAAGTTTGTTGTACGAAGAAATAGTTCGCGATTTACGAAGTATTTATCTTTCTTACCTTATGTATTCCCAAAATACTTTGCTATAGCAAGCTACGTACTTTTATTTGTAAGGGTTTAAATTGTTCGTTTCGTTTCCAGAGTATTTCATTTCCGCTTTTTTCCAGCTTGCCCTGTTTTCAATGCAAACTGCACATCGAGATGTCGCCATAGCTCCAATGGGTCTGTTTAAGATGGATATGGCTTTTGTCCTGTCGGTACGTATGTGTTACGGGTAACGTACGGGTAATGCATGTTTGCACTGCTAATCCAAGTGTGGACTAAGTCCACGCTTGGTAGCGTGTACCACGAATGGTCCACGCTAGGAAGCGTGGACCACGGATGGTCCACTTGGAAGTGTGATTGCAGTTCAACGCTCTGAAGCGTGGAACAGAGCCACAGCTTGGTCCACGTTTCCCAGCGTGGACCATTCGTGGTCCACGTTTCCTTGCGTGGACCTGGTCCACACTTGGATTAGCAGTGTGGCCCCTCCTTACTTAACCTTAGCATATTCACACATTTTCCTGTCCTCACAACTTCCCAATCAAATAAGTTTCGTGATGTCATCTTTGGTAACCACTGAGGTACCATGGAAACAAACACCCAAGATCCTCCATATAGCTTTTTCTTCGCAATACGAACGAAAGCTTAGTTTTATGACAGCACAGCGAAGGTTGTAACTTATGGTGAAGGGTTTCCCGTAACTTATGACCAGTTTCTTTTTATCACGAACAAGTTTCTCAGTATTATGATGGATTTGTATCTTCTATCTATCAGGAATTTGTGTACTTTCGTTGTGGTTGTTTTCTTTCCGTAGTCGGTCTTGACCAGATAATGAAAAAGTGTTTCATTGAGAACCTTAACCTTTGACATGGGAGGTGAATTTTCTGAAACGCAAGTTGAACGCAAGCAGTGACCTTTTCATTTACTGTGCGGCTAGATTTTTCGATGAGTTTCGTTGTAATGTTGCTCTCCATACATATAAATTGTCTTTCTTTCGCAGTTTTGCTCCACTGTCGTTATGTACGTGGTAATGCTGCTTCAGTTTAAGACGGCCTGAGGCAAGCCAATCCAACACGCACTGTAGAAGAATGGGGTGTTAGATAGTGAGATGAGCAACGGCTACTGTCCAAAGCTTCGAAGACGTGGAACATGCGATCATGATCAGAACATTCATCATGATGCAATATCCGAACGGAAGGGTGCACGGAAGCGACACTGTGAAAATTTATCCAGAGGTCGGAAGAAGGAAATGAATTAACTTATCTCCAAATTGAGTCTATATTCAATCGTTGTGCCTTAGAATGGTTTGCATCATTGCACCAAATTATTTGACCGAACAGGATTTTCCCTGTAACTGCCAGCACTCCAGTCACTGTGATATTTCGACTCAGTGGGCATTCGGCCAGTGAGAATTCGGCTGTGTGAGAGCGACTCGCGGAAAATGGAAACAACTCAACCAAAGTCAACCTGAATCCGTTGAAAATTTTGTCAAAAAGAGATAACTCAACTTGTGTTTTTAGGTATCAATTGTAAAAAAAATTCAGTCAAACTCCCCTTTCATTTTAAGAACTTGAACGGGAAAAAGAGCTACGTCCGAACAATGCGCCAGAGGAACCAACTCAGACTAGTTCCACTTGACTCGTCTCCACATTCCACTTCGTTAAGGAAATATAAGTTGAGATGACTCTGTTTTCCATTTTTGCGGAAAGTGAAAAGTCTCAGAAATCCTATAGTACACTGGTGAAAAAAAGGAGTTAAAATAATGCCCTTAAAGGGCGTAAACGATTTACGCCCTTAAAGGGCATTTAGATTTCCCTGCTAACAGTTTTTTGTTTCTCCTGAAAAAATGGTCAAAATAGACTTATCTCCTTCATCCGCTTCCTGGGTCAATTGCGAGCAGTGATGCAACACACTGGCACGTGCCTCTCTCTAAAGCACCCTCTAAAGCTTCAACAACAGCGGCAATCTTCGAGTGCGGCTGAAGGCCGAGCGGGTGACTCATTGGCGAGAGCATTGACTGTGAGGCGCCCAGCGCCGCAAAAAAAAAAAACATTTAAAATAGGAAAAATCCCCTTCTTGTCTTGCCGTCATGTACGCAAAAAGTGCTGATTTGCTCTGCCACGAGCAAAACGACCGGGTCTGCTTCAGAGCACGTCCGACGGCTGAAGAAGTGAATAAGAACCGCTAAGTTTTCAGCAGATATGCAAGCGATGCATTAGGCAGATGCTAAGTACATACTGTAAACACTAAATGTTATGCACAATTTTGTACGAGACACCACAGTTTTTAGTGCACACGAACTTTCCGTACAAATTTTGTACGAAAAACTGCACAAATTTCACCATTTTAGTGCAAAACTGCGTACAAATTTGTACGCAAAGTTTGTGTGCGCATAAACTGTGATGTCTCGTACAAAATTTGTACAAAAACATTTAGGGGGTACACCCCGGGATATGCACTCGCGTAACAGTCGGGTCGCTTTGTTCGTAATAGCACGCGTAAGAAATACACTGCACGAAAAAGTGTGAATAGTACTGTAACTGTAGACTAAAAGTTCAACAGAGATTGTATAAAGCACAGACCTGTACAAACCACAACGAGTCCTTGACTGCACTCGTCATGCCGGTTCCATTGTACTTCGTCTAACAATTGTTGTATTTTGAAAGAACAATAAATTCCTGATAAAAAGTTTGCAAGGAATTTGTGTACTTTTGTCAGGGATTTTTCTAGCAGCGTAGTATGCGTAATAGCGGCGTAATAGCCGAAATTCTCCAATTTTTATCTATTGTAGGTGTGTTTTGAGGTGTTTTTAGATAAGTCCAGATTAATTTTAGTTAATAACCCCCTCCCTGCTCACTTACGGCCTGTGTACTGCTTGACTGCAGGTTGTCTCCCGATTGCATTCCGGTCTCGGATTGTTTGGTTGGCGATGGAGGGGTCGGAGAGGTCGGTCGTGCACTAAGTGGCAGGGGTTTCAAAATATACTCTCCGTTGTTAACATTTATTTCGAAAGATGTAAAAATATCACGTTGAAGATGATTTAAAACATTCACAGTTTGAGACAGCATTCCTACTTTAGCCCCGCTCATTTTCATCCGAGGTGCGTCTGAAGTGGACAGCCTGGAAACTCGTTGCTTCATGTTTAGATTGTCCCATAAGTAATTAAATGCACTCTTGTAACTATTGTAGTCAGAAATAAATGAAAAGCTCTATCTTGTTGCGCCAGCGGGTTGTTACTATTTTATCCTGATGGGTACCGTCATTCAAAGAATGTAACGTCATTTCCGTTACAACTCAAGTTTTCTCAAGTTCGTTGGAATATGATGTCACATTCATTTGAATGTTGATTCCAGGTCAAGCAAATGTGACATCCTACGCCCGTGTCAAGTTGCAACGAATGCAAACATACACGCGAAATTCACATACCAACGAATTCACACGAAATGTTATGTACAATTTTGTACAAGACATCGCGGTTTTTAAGCGGTCTTGCTACGCTTCTAGCTCTGCATCTGAACCACTCATCCCATCCCAGCCATCCGTTCATCCATTCATCCATCCATTCAGCGCGCTCGAAGGGGGACTATGGTCGTGTTGGTCGTCGTCTGTCGTCGACGCCTCCCGCCGCGCCGCCTCGCCTCGCGAATCCCCACTCCTCACAGCCACCCCCTCCCTCCTTGTCCCCTCTGCCCGGCCTCCCCTGCCGGGCCACGGCAAGACCGCTTTGCTAAGCTTGCCTTGGCGGAACTTTTTATTTCTGCTGATAATATTTTTGTACCATTTTTGTACGAAAATTGCACACATGTGCATTTCCCCATTTTGCGCAAAATTACGAACAAATTTGTACGAAAAGTTCGTGTGCACTCTAAACCGTGATGTCTCGCACCTCACATTCGATGAATATCGGTGGTTGAGGGACGAATGTGTCCCCACAACAACAACCCAATAAAGACATGAACTCAGGAAGGATTCGCGAACACAGAACGCGTTACAAACCAGTCCCACTCCACCAGCTGTCCACGATGTCAACGAGTCTTCGCTTCAGCTCATCGGTGCTTCGGATGTTGAAGGACGCAGGGGGGCGTCTTCCTTGCCCAAGTCCTGCAGCGCATCGCGGAGCTCATCGGCAGCTTCCTTGTCCGCAAACTGAGCGTGCAGCAACACTGGTGCGATCATGAAACCATGCGGCGCAACCTTCTTCAGACAATCCTGCAGCAACAAACAGGGGAAATAGGTTAGAAAAAACGAGATGCATTGGGAAGCACCACAAGCGTCGCACAGTGGGCTAGAAGACTGGTGGAAGAGGCAAAAACTCTGGACGCGTTTTGAGCTCCAGAGTCGCTAAATGGGACTCGAACCGACCGTGTGACCCCACCAAGGGACTGCACGTTCGCGTTCGAACGGAAGTTACGTAATTAACATTCTAAGGAATATGACTTCACATTCATTGAGTAACAAATGTGGTATATTTCTTGTCAGCTGCATTAACCGCTGATTACCTCCGATCCGATATTTCCAGGTTCATTTTCGAATACCCATTACCTCAAACTTTCTGATAATCCGGGTAACCGATTTGCTGCTAGCCGGACTACCCAATAGTCGTTACCCAGCCGTTATAACGGCGTATACGCAGCCAGTCCAGATCTGGAGCCTGGTCGGGGTGGCTAAGAGCACTGGTAAGACAAAGGCATAAAAATTACGCCCTTGCAAGGGCATAAATCGTTTTATGCCCTTGGGAAGGGCGTAAATGGTACAGGAATTTCAAGCTAAATTTTAATGCCCTTCCCAAAGGCATTAACGATTTATGACCTTTAAGGCGTAAATCGTTGGGTTAGGTTTACGTCGTTTACGCCCTTAAAGGGCACAATTTTAATGCCTTTGTTTCACCAGTGAGCGGACGACGGCTTGCCACAGCATTGTCAAGACGCTTTGAATGCCACAAGTTCCCGGGTTGCGTAAGTTTGGCATTGCAGACGGCCGGAGCGTCACAAATACTGACAAGGGAGGAGTTTTTCAGGGCCAGGCAGGCTGATTTTAGGCACACTAAAATTTTTTGTGCAGATGAGCTAGGTCAGGCACGTGATTTTGTACAAAACGGTGTAAATTTTGTGCACAGTAAATGTCTTACGGTGAAAGGCTGCACCAACATAATATGGTGGAGATTTTCTCCATAATACCAACGAAATTCATCAAAATCTCTATAAGGTACAGTGAATTCTCAATGGTTTGTTACGAAGTCGGCTGCACCACCATAATATGGAACATTTTCACCATAATACGGAGAATCTTCACTGTAGAACATTTAGAGTGTGTAAATGGAAGTTTTTGTACGAGAATTGTACACAAAGGTTATCTGCACAACAATAACTGCGATGTCTCGTACAAATTGTACCTAACTTTGAGCGTGCCTTCAACAACACGGCTAAACAATTTTGTGGCAAGCAAATGTGTCGACGGATTTGAAGAGTGCACTAACCATAAGATGCGTCCACGAGTACACCGCGTCGGGGTCCTTGCATCCTGCCGTCCTGAGCACACTCTGCAGCTCCGCGTGGTAGCCGCGAAGCAGGTCCTCCCAATGCTCGTCCCGCATCGCCTTCTCCGTGCAAGGCAGCAGGAGGGACGCCAGGTCCAAGGCGGTCGGGCCGGCACGCGACATCTGGAAGTCGATGAGCTGGCACGCCGTCACGTCACCGGAGGTCTGAGGGCACAGACAGGGAATTGAGGACGTGCTGAACACTTCACGGGATTTGGAAACACTGCGAGAAAAAAGTACGGAAAGAGTACGGACCAAGTCTGGTCAATAATTTGCCTGGACCGTCCGTACCTGTCCTACTACGGAGCGTCTGTACATTTATTCCGTACCCGATTACATGAGTTCTTATGGGACAAGTACGGACGTTCCGTACTTTTTTTCCGTACTTCCGTACCATTTTCGTCTGTACATTTTCCGTACTAACACTGGTAAAACAAAGGCATAAAATTACGCTCTTTAGGTCATAAATACTCTTTTATGCCCTTGGGAAGGGCGTAAATGGTATAGGAATTTCAAGCAAAATTTTAATGCCCTTCCCAAAGGCATTAACGATTAATGCCCTTTAAGGGCGTAAATCGTTTACGCCCTTAAAGGCCTTAATTTTAATGCCTTTGTTTCACCAGTGAAACTACGGATTTTTTTACAGTGAAAAGTTGATGAAGATCAGTCCACGGAAACACAGAAAATCCAAGAGTGGGACAAGCATGCATGAGATAAGGTGGGTCCGCTTGTCCCCACGTTATCTGGTGCATGCCTGCCCCGCTCTTGGATTTGCTGTGAAGTCCTCGAACGGATGAAGGCACAGCACGCATCATACGATAAGCCTGCCCTGTGCACCCTCATCCTTCAATCATCATAATCAATACACTACAAACCTAACTGTCTACTAAGTACTCACTTACAAATGCATGCTTGCAAGTACACACTTACAAAGGCATGCTTGGCCAAGTACACACTTACAAATGCATGCTTGCAAGTACACACTTACAAACGCATGCTTGACGCCGTATAACTCCAAGCCTCAAGCATGCGTTTGTAAGTGTGTACTTGCAAGCATGCATTTGTAAGTGTGTACTTGGCTAAGCATGCGTTTGTAAGTGTGTACTAAGTAGACAGTTAGGTTTGCAGTGTACGTGTTCATTGACGTTTTGGCGCATAAATACTTAGTTTTGTTAAGAAGCTTGACAGAATTGTCAAGACGAAATTGAAAATATTGTTTGTTTAACAAACCAAAATCTTAATTCGCCTTCTTGGCTTGGTGCGTACGTCAATACACAGTTAAACACGAAGTCAGTACGAGTCTGAGAGTGCGGCATATTTTTTTATTTAAACTGGATGGGCTGAAAGGAGATGCAATGCGGTAACCGACCCGCACTTTTCAATTCCATCTTGCAAAGAAATTTCCAATAACGTAGTTTGTGTTAACAAATGATCTTCTTTGTATCTTATAAAAGGAGATCCGAAAAGAATCATATTAAAAGAAAAACTTGGTTTGTACGATGCTTGCGCCCCATTCAGTGTAACGTAGCTCAATTTTCTCTGTAGGGCATTTACAGTGTACGCCTTGACGTACTCCTAGGAGCAGTTGCCAAAATTAGAGGGCACTATTCAGGGCCATAAGGTGGCAACAAAAAGAGATAAAGTTCATCCATCAGTACTCAGCGACTGCTTTGCTGCACTAGGTGTAAGCCACCCAAGCCACTCAAACAGTCTGACTCAGAGATAAGCGAGCGTTTCAAGTTGTGCTTGTCAGTCTGACTCACTGTATATGTTCCTCTATTGGCCATAACTATTGCCATATTTGTGCACAAGTAAGCTATGAACAAACACAGAAATTGGGAAAAATATGCTCGTATTTGGCTTAAATTTAAAAAAAAAAGTGCTTTGCTTTAAGTTAAAATCGGCACCTAACTTGCACCTGCACAAATACGTCAATTCAATGTTAATGTATACGTAAGTGCATAGGCATTTGGAGGGTAAAATTAATCTACCTGGTCATAGCTGAACATGAAGTTGTTGACATGGCAGTCGCCGTGCACGATCGCAATGCCTGGTGCTGGCTCAGGGGTGGCCGCCAACATTTTCATGTTTTCGGCTCCGTAGGACTGAAGCATTTGCAGCAGTTTCGTGTATACGACAGTGCCCTCTGGGTATTTCTCCGCGACAATCGCTACCAAAACGAGCAAGGCAATAATGTGCATCAACCGACCAAACCCATGTAAAATCAAGCTGACATCGGAAACCAATAGACTTTTCGAGTCGTCGTCGACTGAAGAACAAAGAGAAGCAGTAAACCGCGGAAATAAAGTGGATCGGAAGAAGCCAGCAAACTCAGTTTTAGGTAGAGGTGTAGACAATATGTGGCTTTCTTTTGCCAACACTGAAAATTGAAGAGTGTAAATTATGACCAAATTTTGGCGAGAAATATTTCACACGGTTAAGACGTGGAAAAACATTCTCACCACTTTACGGCGAGAATTCTAAACGCCACAGAGGTGAGAATTTTAACTCTAATCGCAGCGGAGGGAATCTTTTGCTGATCCTCTGCCTTTGAGTTTTCACTGTAATAAATCAGATTTCGAATGAGTGACGCTTTGGAAGATTCTTCAAGCGGCACTCGAGGGTGTGTGTGAGGTTAAGTGGCCGGCTCCTTTTCCGGTTTTCCTCTTGCTCTTCACTCGCCCACGAGGAAAATCGAGAAGGATGATCATTTCTTTTAACAGCGACAGGAATTCTGACCTACCAACTGTTTGAGCCACCATTTCCGACATTTGCGAGAACATGGCCTGCACTTCGGGGCTGCTGAAAGGGTTCCCCAGCTTGTCCGCCAGCGTCTTGAACGTGTCCGGCTTGAGGTGCTGCAGAGCGATGCCCGCGCCGTGGAATTTGGCCATCTGGGACAGCGCCAGGCGGCAGTGGGCAGCGTCCATGGCCACGCGCCGGTCCTTCATGCCGAACCCTTTCAGTCGGAGGTCCTCAAACACCAACGCCGTCTCCGCCCCGTTCGAGGACGCGAAGAAACACCTGTTGCAGTTACGGAACAGGATAGCCTATGGGATTGCGATACACTGAAAAATGAAGACTAAGGTGAAAAATAAATTGTGGATCACATATCAATTATGGGCTTTTTTTGGACGGGCCGCTTCAAATCCGCATGAGCGAATCGGTTTCAATTTCGGTATGGGTCCTCTCTCAACTTTCCTTTGTCACCTGAAACGACGTGGATGTCAGAACAACGAACAGAACGCCACCTATAGGGCAGCAAAGAAAGACCCTAAAACTCGTAAGGAAATTTGGGCCTATCCGAGGGCAAGAGAAAAGGGGACACGGGATGTTTTTGGAACATTTTCAAAAAATCGAATTATGGAATGAATTGGAACGCCGATTTGGGTGACTAATAGTTGAAGGAACATAAGTCAACCTAAGTTGAGTAGAAATTGTAGAAGGCTAAATGCGCGGGTAGCTTTAAAAAATGCTGACCCACAATTGGTTTCAAAAATCAATTGTGGGCCTAAACAGCCTATTTTCGAAACTGCCGTAGTTCAGTAAACAAGGACGATATATCACTGGTTTTTTGACAAAGGGGCGTAAGTCCACAAATTGGCAAAATCCACTTTTTTTCAGAAAAGAATTTAAAATTAAAGAACAAGCCTACTGGTTTTTGAAAAATGAAAATATCTCAATTAGTTCAGAAGATACAGAAGGTGTCCAAAGGGCGTAAGTCCATTCCATTTTTGACAAAGGGGCGTAAGTCCACCCGTTTTCTGACAAAGAGGCGTAAGTCCAGGTGGTTTTTTGACAAAGAGGCGTAAGTCCAGGTGGTTTTTTGACAAAGAGGCGTAAGTCCAGGTGGGTTTTTGACAAAGAGGCGTAAGTCCAGGTGGGTTTTTGACAAAGAGGCGTAAGTCCATTGGCCATTCTGACAAAGAGGCGTAAGTCCACAGGCCATTTTGACAAACAGGCGTAAGTCCATGGGTCATTCTGACAAACAGGCGTAAGTCCATAGAACATTCTGACAAACAGGCGTAAGTCCATAGAGCTTTCTGACAATCAGGCGTAAGTCCATGGACCTTAAGTCGTAAGTCCGTTGCATAAGTCCACAGACCATCCCAATCAACTAATCACTCATGAGGTCACTGAGTGGTTTGCAACTTGTGAACACTGTTTCAATCAAATAATAATGACTACAGTGCAAACCTAACTGTCAACTAAGTACACACCTAAAAATGCAAGCTTCCAAGTACACATAAACGCATGCTTGGCCAAGTACATACTTACAAATGCATGCTTGCAAGTACACACTAACAAACGCATCCCTGGCGCCGTATAACTCCATGCGTGAAGCATGCGTTTGTAAGTGTGGACTTGCAAGCATGCATTTGTAAGTGTGTACTTAGTAGACAGTTAGGTTTGAAGTGTAACGTTTCCTCTCATCTCAATCGCATCAGGCTTACAATACGTATTTCAGAATGGACTCTTACATCTTTGCGAGGGTAATCAGATTTAATAGAGCAGCATTCTTCCTCACCGGAGTCCGATGGAGATGGTGATTGGCGCATTAATCTTCTGCAGCAGGGGAGAACCTGGACTCATCCATGCTGATAACCTCCATGTAGCACACTCTGTGTTGGGCCCATGACTTTTAGGCCAAGTGCTGCCTAAGAAGACGAATGCAACATTCACCATCGTCATCGGACTCTGGTTTCACCATCATCATCGGACTCAGGTGACGAAGAATGCTGGTCTTTTAGATCTGATACCCCTTGCAAATATTTAAGAGTCCGTTTTGAGATATGTATTGTTAGCCTGATGGGATTGAGATGAGAGGAACCATTAGTCATTATTATTTGATTAAAACAGTGTTGACATGTTGCAAACCACTCTGTGACCTCATGAGTGGACATTCGCCATTTTCACCACATTAGCTGTGGACATTCGTAAGTGGTTAATTACAAATCTGAACTAGTTTATCGGGATAGTCTGTGGACTTACGCCTGTTTGTCAGAATGGCCTATGGACTTACGCCTGTTTGTCAGAATGGCTAATGGACTTACGCCTCTTTGTCAAAAATCCACCTGGACTTACGCGTCTTTGTCAAAAAACCACCTGGACTTACGCCTCTTTGTCAAAAATCCACCTGGACTTACGTCTCTTTGTCAAAAAACCACCTGGACTTACGCCTCTTTGTCAAAAATCCACCTGGACTTACGCCTCTTTGTCAAAAATCACACCTCATTTGGAAGGGTTTTTCTGACATTGTAGGAGTTACAAAAGAGTTACACACATGAGATTTTTACCAAAAGATGCACACTTTCTCAAAGAATTTGTCACAAAAATTTGAGTGTTGTGTGGGAATTTATAGATCTTAGGAGCTAAAAACTGTATGTTTTTGGCCGTCCTGAAAAATTTGGTTCAGTGGACTTACGCCTCTTTGTCAAAAAACCAGTGATATGGTGCAGCTATGCTGCAAAACGAAGTCAAGAGAACATATTTAGATGCCTGAAAGCTACTTTGGCTACTAGTTCAAAATTTATACTTAAACTATGCATCTTCCTAAAAAAAGTGACCCACAATTGATTTTTACCTTAATTCTTGATCTGAGAGCGCACACACAAAACTTCGAGGGGATCACTAAGTGTTCTGATGTTCACATGAGTACCCGAGTACGGATGATACAACGAGAAACAAGTACAGAAAAAGTGCGGCACATATCTGGTCAATATTTATCTGGACCGTCCATACCTTGACAGCCAAGGAAGTTCTGCACATGTTTTCCGTTCCAGTTTACATGAAACCCTTATCCACAGAGAATCAAGTTTTGTTTGTGCACTCTAGATTGTGGATAAGGTGCGAACAATCCGTGTCGCCTGTACCTGTAGACGATATCGTCCTTCATGCACTTATTTACCTTGGCCAAGGGAGTGATCCTTCGATGCCACCAGTTCCTTCCATGGCAGGTATTATGGATTTGTACATGGTGCTCTCTGCGACGAACGTCTGTGCCAGGAAGGCGTTTGCGGTTCCTGGGTGGGGTACTTTAACCATGAGGACCAGATCATCTCTTTTTCCCGAACGAGGTGGTAAGCAGCAACCTGCATTGTTCTGGGAAAGGAACAAAAAGCAATTCGTAAACTTTCAAAATTGTTGTACAAGAACCTATTGCGAGGGGGTGACCGCTTCAAGAAACCGTGAGCAGACTACTCAGTATTACGCGGCATTACACTGTACTGGCATATTACACGTGTATCACGGCCTTAAAATGCCAAAATTTTGCACATTTACACTTAACCCAAAAATGGTATTACGTTTACGTGTATTACGCGTGATGCACGACTTTTGTGTACAGGTTATTGCGCGGTGTTTACCCCCTCGACCTGTTGGTTTACGTGGCCCAGCCGGTAAAAAACAAGACCAGCCGCCTCAATCATCACTCCGCGAACCAGTAATCCTAGTAAATTTGATGGATTAGCGGTATGAAGGTATTGTCCTCGAGCTTGAGCGATAAGTACGGAGTCTTTGAAGCAACTTTGTGCTGAGGGCTGAGGCTTCACTCTTAATAGATTTTTCGGTTGACGTTAATGCAATATGACGGCGCTACACCAAAAAAAAATGCACTGCAAAAAAGGCAATTTTTTGTTATTTTTTGATGCACAAAATTCTTCAAAGGAAGGGATTTTGCAAGATTCTGGCAGATTTCACAGGATTAACCACTAATAAAATATTAAATTTTTCGAGCGTTAGATTTCACTCAACTTCACGAGATTTCAACAGGTTTCATAGGAATTTCCCGGGTGGAAATATCTGCAGTTTAAACAATATGGCAACTGGATTTTTTTGTCAAATGTATTGTTAGGGCCACCGTTGACAAAATTGTAGCCTTCATTGACGTAATACACGTGTTTTACCGAGAAGTCTGTACAGGATATCCCTTGAAGGATAACCACCTCGTAGAAAACACCACTTTAAACATTAAAAAGCTGGTACATTTTTGCTGAAATTGATACAAGTGTCAGACGAAATAGACACTTCATGGACAAATGGCAATCGATTGCTGAGGATCAACTGGTTCCATAAATACCTCTTCCCGGATGGTGACTCGGTACAGAAGGCTGGTGTATCCATCCCCTGGATTTGAGCCAGGGTCTACCTGAAAACTAATTAAAATGATCTCTATGTAGATTGCCTCGTCCGCCAAGATTTGCTCGATCCTTGCGAAGGGTTCTAGGGTATGCTTTGCGAATGACTGCCTGTGTAAATCATTCACCATTGCTATGCAATTCCTTCACATGCTGCATGTTAGGTGGCATTGAGTACTTTCCGAATCCATCCGTTTGCTTGCCACACACACTGGCTCCCTGTGTTTAATGTCAAAATTTGGCCTTTTGGACCAGAAAGGACGCTTTCGCTCGTCTCCGCCTGAAGAACGAAAGTCCTCAGAAAGCCAGGAACCGGTAGGGTAGTTACGTTCCGACTGTTCCGTGGCTTTTTATTACTTTTGTTCACTCGGCGACGACTGAAAGAGTCTATTGCCCTCTGAGAATGCACCAATTTGGCACTCCGGCGGCCTGGTACACCAAATTATTACGTTCTCACAGAGCGATATCCAGGGCCAGAAGGTCCAGTTTCGGCTCTGAAATCGAAGCACCTTGCCACGCCGGCAAGGAAACTTGCCAATGGATTTGTGGTGTAAGAACTTACCTCGGCTTCTTGAAACCTTCGGCCTCCGCAACACGAGAAATGGTCTTGCTGACAACATCGGGGACATCCGAGACTGTGGTGGCAGCCATGGCTCGGTCGGCACTGCCTATCTCCCGTCGCCAGACGCGACAACAGCTTAAGAAGCAGTCGGGAAAAGATAACACGTCGTTTGGCATGAAATAATCTTTGCTCTGGATAATCAGTTGATTGTGCTTCAAGGTATTCTCGGACAGTGTTTAGATTCCTTACTTTTCACAGGAAAAAGATGCAAGCTGCAGGCGCGGATTCAGAAAAAAAAGGGGGGGGGCTGAAGTTTAGACATTTCAAGGTTCAACATCTTTGTGCAAATTTCACTGGTAAAACTAAAGCGTAACTCTTTGCTTGACTCAAGCATAAAGTTACGCTGGAAGACGTTACGCTTGAAATGAAGCGTAGACTTGAAATTCCCCTGGTGGCGAATCTTGGTGGATGAGCTGGTTACGCTTGATTTCATACGAAACCATGATTACGCTTGAAAACAGAGGGTAATACTACGCTTTAGTTTTGCAAGTGTTGAGTTGTAACAACCCAACGCGACTTGCGTTCCCATCACGGGCGCAAAATCTTTTTATCAGGGGTCACCCCCACCCCCCTAATTTTCTTGATTAAAAATCATTATTAAATAAATAATCTTTATACTCTAATTCACGGAGTTAACCCTGGAAGTAAATATTCTTTTTCGCCTGATTCCCAGAAGTCACCCCCATTTCCTTTGTACATTACAAAGCTAAAGATTATTTTTTTAGGCACGAAGTAGCCTTACAGTATCCCCAGGATTCAGCCGGCGCGAGATTCAATTCGTGTGGCCCCTTATGCATTTTGAAAATTTTCTATAGCTTTTTAATCAGATTTTGCAGACTAGTAGAACTTTGAACGGTGATTCTCATGTTGAAATATGGTTAAAAAGTTAATAGCCAGTTTTGAGAAATTTGCTGTCAAAATCGCTGTTTCCATGGCAAAACTCAACTCGTCAAGCAAAAAGGAAGGGAGTTGGGGGAGCCCAGCCGAACCCGACCAATAGCCGAGCTCCTTTTCGCTCTGTACAGCTTACCCCAAAAGCTGAAAAAGCGCGCTCGAATCAAAATTGCATTTCACTGCAGCTAGAAGAGATCAAACAATATCATTGTCGTTGTTTTCGAACGTGGCCATTTGGATCGGCCGGCCGACCGGTGATTGTCGATGAGAGTGTCCCGCACCGCTGCGTTGTTTTTGTTGTTGTTTTCAGAAATGCCAAGTTAGGATTTCCGTTACTCTTCAAATCGGAGTGAATTGAGCCATTAAACTGCGTACCTGTGCACATGCATCTGTGAATTATCTTTCTTGAATGTAGTTTGAGAGTCACTTTAAGACGTAAAGTTTCTTTTCGAAAAAGCTTGTCATATAGGGTCAGGGCGGGGAAAAATCGGACACGCGCAAGTTGGGGAAGAAACGCACACCGCACTTTTGCCACAAATTGGCCTATTTTGGGACGTGCAAAGTATTCAGTATTGCTTATTGATGATCTGGTAGATTGCGTTTAAGAGGAATTTAGCCTACTTGAACCGGAAAGTATTATAAGTCATCTTAAAACGAGGTCTCGTTTAAAACACCTAAAAAACTTTCAAAGTTGGTGCCCGCAATATCTCTTTTTAACGACTTTCCGAGCCTACTCTGACGAATATTCTTATTGTAAACGAAAGTTCGAAGTGTGGAGCCCAAGATACGTTCAAATGTTTTGACAGATTTGCAGCTGGATTACGTATTAAGAGTTAAATACGAAACGGGGAAAAACCGTACACTGGTGCGGGGAAAAATCGAACACCTCTTTTTTCTTTAAAAGTCGTCGAATTGCCCTAACATTCCACCAAAGTGGTCGTAACAAGTGTATTTTAACATTTCCCAACATTTAGTGAGAAAACAAACACGGCTGTTGACGATTTCATACATTTTGGTCATTTAACCTCAAAAACGTGCCGCCACGGACCCCCTGACAAAGCTACGATGATTTCTGTCTACCTAGGAATACTCGTGCGCCTGCTTCAGTGGGTATTGCAAGTGTTACCCCCAAATATCGTTCCCAAGAGATTTCTGACCAACTTTCATAGGATTTTGTTAAATTAAAGCCTATGTCCGATTTGTCACCTATGGTGTTCGATTTTTCCCCGTTTCGACGGAGAAGAATCGCACATATTTTTCAATATCCAAGAATGAAGCCGCAAACGCACTCGCCGAGGGTTGAAATGTCTTTCTTTGAGGCTCGATCAACAGACCCAACGGATACATTGGCTAAAGATAGTCAATTAGAGTCAAAATCGAGAAAGATTGCAAAACGTCCAGTTCTTCCCCGCCCTGACCCTAGCTGCTCCTATAGCTTCTCCGTTTAGCGAAGTTTGACGGTACTTATGACCGCTTCGCTCCACCTCGCGACTTTCAGTGATCATGTTCCTCGAACAGGACTCACCATCCAACCGTCGTGGTGTCGTTACGTTGTGAGTGAACTATTGCACAGAATTAAAGAAAACATGACTAGAGAGAACCGTAGCCTTTTGAAACAATGGAGGGGCAGTTCGGGGCAGTTTCAATGCGCGACTACTCGTGTTTTGCGCTTCGCGATTTTCGCAAGGGCGCAGCGACGCCGAGAAAATTGTTGCCCAACCGCGGAAATGAAGTTACTTCTTTTTTTGCTACGAAAATTTTAATAATGCTGGACTTCAAAATGTTCCATTATCAGAACACTGTGTATTACATCAACATTAGAATTTGTCGAATTTACCTGCATTTTGATTTCTATTTATTGTCAAGTTCAAATTTTGACGGGTGTCACATCGACTACCACATTGGTACCACTGCCATTGATAGCCACCCCTGAGCCACCCGCTATCCCCTTTACACAACTCCTTTTCTTTCTCCTCACTCCTACACAATAACCAAATTGACTTCGTGACTCCTAGGATTCCCTGAAATCCTTTTTTTTTTGTAGGGCGGGTGGGGGTGGGGGTGACCTTAGGGAAGGGCAACCTTGGGCAGGCACCTACTAGGTGAAGGGAGTCACCCAAAGGTTCCCATTTACTTCGGGTACATGAGTGAGGTACATTAAAATCATTTAATTCAGTCATAAAAAATTTTATTGAATAAAATCAAGCTGCCTCCGTTTTTGTACCAAGTGCATTTCAGTTCTATTATATTGGTAAACAATGTAACATTTGTATATAAAATTTTTACAATAAAATTTATAATATTTTTGTAACACTTTCTCTAAAACTACATGAAGATAAAAAACCATTTCACAACACTGCTTGACTACTTAAGCGGCACACTAAATGAAATTAAACAAAATCCCAGTTATCCTGGGACCTAAAATTCACTTTGCTTAATGGACAGCTTGAGGTCTGGTCGCGCCATCTTCAGGTTGGTCATGATCAGATCGGCCTTCACGCCAGTGAGCTTCGTCCACCCAGTCACCGATCGCAAATCTGGGAGTGCGGAGAGTGCGTCCACATGGTCGTCCTGTCCGAACCAATGAAGGTGAACTTCCTGAAGGCGAGGCAGACAGCCCAGGATCTTGTCGATCAAGTCCTGAAAACAAAAATTGTTCACTCTTAATGTTTTATGAAATGAAAAATATGTTACATTGAATTCGCGGCGCAAGCGTGACACTGATTTTCCAAGTGTAATATTGAACTAATTTAAAAAGCAATAACATTTTTATTGCATAGTAGCGCAATGAAAAAGTTATTGCATTCTAGGTGCAGTAATTATTGAACAGAGCACTTCCAATATGCGAAATATGGCGACACGATGTATGGCAAATCCTGCACCCTCAGATTCTTATGATGAAAGGGTCATCATAACTTACATTGAAATGAGAACATACGTACTACAATGAAATTCATGCGTAATACGATGAAATCATGCGTACCTTATGAAGAAACCATGCGTAATACGGTTAAATCATGCATACCTTACGCTGAAATCTATGCATATTACGTATGTGCAAATTTATGCGTACCTTACGATGAAAAACCATCGTAATACGTATAAAAACGGTCATAAGATGTTGAGAGTGTGCTCGCTGAGGGCCAGCAGGAGACGCCTGCAAGACGGTTGAAACAAGCGATATTTTAGTATTGTCTGCGTTTTCCACCCGATTTCTGTTACTAGTTTGTTCCTTAAGATATCCGAAACATTTTATCGCAATATCATTCACAGAATTCGCTCCCGCGGGTGAATTTAAGAGTTACATTATGGTGCTACGCGTACCCTTATTTGAACTGCCGCGGCTTTTCGCTTGCAGACACTCTACCAAAAATGTCCTGTAAATGCCGTTAATTTATTACCAGTTTTCACTGTAGGTCGTCAATTCACAGCGTTTACTGTGATCTTGTTCGCGGTGTTCACTGTGATCTGGTCCCCAGTAAACACTGTGAGTTTGACGCCGCTGAGCACCGAAGGACTGCAAATCAGGCTCCTATTCACGGCGTTTACTGTGGCCAGATCACAGTGAACACTGTAACCGAGATCACAGTGAACGCCGTGAACTAGTTCACAGCAAACGCCGTGAATTGCATAACAGCAAACATTGGTAATAAATTAACGGCGTTGACAGGACATTTTTTGTAGAGTGGACTTAATTTTAAAATCTATTCCTAGGTATCCTTCGTGTCCTTAGTATGAAAGTACGAAATCAGGTGATGCCAGAACAGGTTTTGTTTGGTCCTAAAGACTTAGCATTCCCGAGATTTGAGCGATTTCGTAGCGTCGGCAGCTCGGCCCTCAGCGAGCGGAGAACGTTCTTTACCCGGCAGTGACTCTGGCCAAACATAACGGTTCACCATTGCACGGGCCCTATTGCATTAGCGCATTTATCGCTTTATTAGCGTAGTGATCATTTTATCACACCCAAACTGTGATAATCTGAGCCTAGAGCGGCCAAAACCTGGGATACTTATGACAATTTTAGAGCGATCATTTTTTATTGCTGCCACAGATGCGATAATATGAAGGAATCACACTAGCCTTTTAATCACAGCAAATTGTATGAAACTTATAACATTAGAAATATCAATGAATACGTAGCAATATTCCTTTGTCATAAAAATCTTTTCTGCATTTTCATTGTTATTAGATACAAAGAAAGCCACGGAAGTCACGCCGAAAATTGGAGTTAACTATCAGCTCTGAATGCCAATGGATGATAAGATATTCCTTAGAAAATTAAGGGGTAGCACCAATACACAGTGCTAGTGTTTCACTAATTTTAAAGCCAAGCCAGAAAGGTGACTAAAAATTTTTCAAGTATACTTTTAATATATTTTAATATGTGAAGGGCACGTAAAAATATTTCGCTTGAACCTTAAAATAAGAAGGTTCTGCACGATGGAAAAAGTTCTGCGTACCACTTAAAAGCTTCTTTCAAATGGAAATAAGTAGAATTCTGATTCCCATGCGTCTAAAACCAAAATGTGTAAAACGTACGAAGGAACGGGATGCTGTTTTGGTCCGATGGCAGCGGTTCACGAAGTTACCTCAAAGTTCCAGTCCAGGGTTAGACGCAATTCAGTGACGTTGTGCGCCGCGTGAGCCACGGCCAGAAGGAGCTCCGCTACCGAGGTCCTCGCCCCCTCCCACAGCGGCGGGTCATCCAGACTGTCCCCAGTGGCCCCCGAACCGAGTTCGAGGTCAAGGCGACGTAGCCCGGACAGGGACTCACCATGCCGGGCCAGCAATTGTGCGGTAGCAACTGCATCCTCGGACCTAACCTGAAACAACAAACATTCCGAAGACTCGAACCACACAAAGCGAACTGTCTACATATGGAGGTCTCGCGAGGGGGTAACCACATTGGATGTTTGGGGACACAAGATTTCTTAAGGCTAAAGATTTCGTCGGATTTCGCAAGATTTTAACCGATATTCCGCCCAAAATTAGCTTGTTTTTGGCCATTTCTGGGGCAAGATTTCAGATTTCCCAGAGATTTTAAGCACTAAGGGGACACAAGATTTCTAGAGTGGTTGCCCCCTTGAGGTCTTCCCAGGGCTCCACAACTCCCGGCCATAGGCCCCGATACGACCCCAACCCGGCCCCGACCCGGCCCCGACCCGGTCATGGACCTTGGCCCCGACCGGCCGACCCGGTCAGACCCGGCCAAGACTGGCAAAACCGGCCCAGACCCGGCCAGGGGCCGGGCCGGCCGACACCGGTCAGTCCTATAGGGCCCGGCAAAGGGCCTTGCCAAGCCGGCAGAGTCCACCCGGAGTCCGGCCAAGTCCGGCCAAGGTGCAAGAGTGCGCCACCCGAAGACTGGTCACCTACACGTACAGTCCGGACTGTGGCGGGTTCACCGGACTTACGGTGTAGGGTGACCACTCTTCGGGTGAACGCACTCTTGCACCGTGGCCGACTGGCCGGACTCGGATGGAATCTGCCGGGGCTTGGCCAACGGGTTTGCCGGGTCCCTATAGGGAGACCGGGTGTCGGCCGGCCCGGCCTCCCCGGCCGGTCTGGGCCCGGGTCTTTGCCGGGTCTGGGCCGGGTTGGCCGGGTCGGGGCCGGGTCTCGGCCGGGTCGGGGCCGGGTCGGGGCCGGGTCGGGGCCGGTCGGGGTCGATCGGGCCTATGGGCCGGGACTTCGTCGGAGGTTTCTAGGTTGGCAGGTCTCGCACAACTAAAGTATGGTGCCCAGTGATGGCCACTTTTAGCGCAATGATGCGCCTTTTACTTCTTTACTAGTCTCCATACGTCTCATCGGTATGGAAACTTTTAGGAACATACAAGAAGGATACAGTAAGGATTCCCAAGGTTGAAAACGAGCAAAATAAAATTTATTCTTTGCGAAAAAATCAGCCAAAATATCAGTACAGTTTGCACAGTGATGGCCAGTGTCCCGGCCCAGTGATGGCCATACTAGGGTTTGAGCTCTTTGTTTTCGTTTTTGACAGGGTTTGAACCCAATTTTGACTGGTTTGAACCGTGCTCGAAGCTGCGGGGGTCGCTGTGTCTCAGGAAACGGAAATCAGTGTACCCTGGGAACTTGAATCTACTGTGCCTTCGAAACTGTTAAGCGGGTCGTCCCCCAAGCGATCACAAGTAGATGTCGACCCTGGAGGGTAACTGGTCCACGCACCTCTTGCCCCGACAGCCAAAGGTGCAGGGAGCGAAGCCGTCGCATGTTGAACACGCAGGTCACATGCATGAGGTTGGCAGCTAGGCTGCGGAGCTGGAGACACTCCGCCACGCTGTCAATGACCTCGGATGGTAGGGATGGTAGGCCCGACACATCGTCAAACAAGCTCATTGCAAACTTGGCCTCCCAATACTCGTCGGGCAGGCTGAGGTGGCGGAGCCTGGCTGCCGTGCCGCGGATCAAGTCCACCGCCAGATCGATAGGGAAATCATACTTTAACCGCAGGTACCTGGTGGCAGAGAACTCGATCACTATCCACTCTGTATCAACGGAGGGCGTCCTGCCTGCCGACGGAAGGCCCCCTTGGCCTCCTTGGCCTCTTGTTCACCAGTTTGTGGCAGCAGTTTTGACCGGACGCTAATTTAATTAGCACCAATGGATTCAGAAAGGTGCAATACGTGCACCAATGGAATTTGTTTTTAGGAATCCCGAAGGATGTCCGGCGAGATGCTTGAATCAAGCATAAAGTTACGCTTGAAATCAAGCATATACTAGAAATTCCCCTATGCAGGGGGAATCTTGGCGGATGAGCCTGTTACGCTTGATTTCAAGCGTAAACTGATTACGCTTGAAAACAGTGGGTAATACTACGCTTTAGTTTTACCGGTGTTCAATCGCTTGATTTATTGCACTTTTCGGTGTTTTCACTTCGATTTATTGTGGGCTGAAGTGACAGTTGCGGGAGGTGCAACTTGTTAAAGGGGCGCTACATTTCATGATCTTTCGATCGGTGCAAAGCGTTTTGCAAATACCGCACTCTTAAAGCCTTACGAAGACGAAGTGTTTTGAGCATACATATTATTTGAATTATTACATTATTATTAATACATTATTTGAAAGGTGAATAAGCTAATTTCTGGATGATTCTCATTCAAACAAAGGTGACATAATGCTCAAAGGAACGTGACATTTTGACCCATTCGTTTCAACGTGACGTCACGTTCCTGGAATGAGAGTGCAACAATTTACACCAGCACTGAAAATCAAATAGTGATACATCTCACTCTCTGAGGGGTGAGACATAACTGTCTCACCGAAAAAAGGGTGACGCTAAAATGTATCACCGAAAAAATGGTCGTACACGCACGTATCACCGAAAAAAAGTCGTACACGAATGTATCACCGGAAAAAAGGTCGTACTCAAAGGCATCACCGAAAAACGGGTGATACTTCAGCGGCCGTTGGGCATAAGGACGTAAGTCACATGGGAAACCCATTGAAAATAGGTTGTTCTGTCCGATGACCACTCACTTCCCCTGGAAAACAGGGGCCACTCTCGCTGGTGTCTCACCTTTTCTTTCGGTGATACATGCGTGTCCAACCATTTTTTTTTTTCGGTGATAAATTCGTGTACAGTTGAAAATTGGTGAGATGTCTCACCCATTGAATTACAGTGAGCCAAAATCTCCGCTGCTCAGCGTAACCAAGGAGGGCCACTAACCTGAGTGCGGGCAAGAGCTCCCCTTCCACTTGTAGCTCATCGTCGTACGGGAATTCCCAGCACAGGTCCAGACTCAGATCTTCCAGCCGGTGCAGCTGCGCCAGCACACCCGGTAGAGACCACGAGTCGTAGCCGTCCTGTTCGGCCCAGGCAGCCACCGCGTCGCTCTGTTCCTGCTCCGGGGACAAGGCGCACTCCTCCTCGACATCCACTGTTTCAACAAGGAATGTACACACTTAATGTTATGTACAATTTTGTACGAGACATCACAGTTTTTTGGGCACACAAACTTTCCGTACAATTTTTGTACGAAACACTTCACAAAATTCCCCATTTTGTGCAAAATCTCGTACAAATTTGTGCGAAAAGTTCGTGTGCACAAAAAACTGTGGTGTCTCGTACGAAATTTGAACAAAAACATTTAGAGTGTATGTCGGCACATACCGGTGGAATGAGAGGGGCCACGAACTTCCAAAAATTGTGTAGACCGTTATTTTACCATAATTTTAACGCTATTTAAACGTTATTTGAAGGGAAAACGTACACCAAACTGCAGGTTGTTTCCCCCTCGGTACAATGTGATGAATAGGGTGAACCGAAAAACGTGATTTTTCGATAATATCGCGCGAAAGTTGCTTCATGGCATTACAAACTTAGCGCGACTTCTCAGGTCTTTAAGTTAAGGCTCAACCCTCGCGCATTGACGTGGGGAATTCGAAATCCTGACTTTTACCAAGTTTTCTTAGAAACGTTGCCAAAAATGCGCCACCCCAGTAGTCAGTTCTGAGCAAAATCAGTTCACACGGGCCGGCCAGGAGTCCTACGCTTGCGTTAAATAGCTGCGAATCTCGGCAAAATCCCTACATTCGAGGAATCCTGTTCAACTTAAAAAATCAACTGTGGGTCACTTTTTAGAAAAGTGCATATTTAAAGTATAAATTTTGAACAAGTAGCCCAAGTGGGTTTGAGGCATCTAAATATGATATCTTGGCCTCGTTTTGCAGTATAGCAGCACCGCCTAACGTCGTCGTTTACTGAACTATGGCCGTTTCAATAATAAGCTGTTTTGGTCCACAATTGATTTTTGGAACCAATTGTGGGGCAGCAAATTTTAAAGCTACCCGTGCAATTAGCCTTTTAAAATTTCTGCGAAACTTACGGTTGACTTATGTTTCTGCCCCTATTAGTCACCTCAACCAGCGAGGGCGGTCCAACTCCCATAATTCGATTGTTTAAAAATGTTCCAAAACCATCCCCTTTCCCCCTTTTTCTTGCCCTCGAATAGGCCCGATTTTCCTAACGAATATTGAGGTCTTTCTTTGCTGCCCTATAGGTAGCGCTCTGGTCGTTGTTTCGACATCCCTGCTGTTTCAGGTGACAAAGGAAAGTTGTGGGAGGACCCATACCGAAATCGAAACCGATTCGCTCATGCATGGATTTGAAGCGGCCCGTCAAAAAAAAATACGATTTCAAGAAATCCTAGGAGTCACGAAGTCAATATAGTTATTGTGTAGGAGTGTGGAGAAAGGAAAAAAGTTGTGTAAAAGGGATAGGGGGTGGTTTAGGTACGAATGGCAAGGGTATCAATGTGGTCGGTGTGCCACCCGTCAAAATTTAAACTTGGCAACAAAAAGAAATCAAATCAAAATGCCGTAAAATTCGAAAAATTCCAATGCTAATGTATTCCACACTGGAACATCTTTGAAGTCAATCATTATTAAATGTTCGTGGGGAAAGGAGGCAGTAAATTAACTTTCGCGGGTTGGCAACAATCTTCTCGGCAACTGCGCCCTTGCGAAAATAGCGAAGCCGAAAACACGAGTAGTCGCGCATTAAAACTGCCCCGCCATTGTTGCTGACGTTGAATTGTTTGGCTTGTTTCAAAAGGCGGTTCTCTAGTCATGTTTTCTTCAATTACGTGTAATAGTTCTCATTCACAACGTAATAACACCACGACGGTTGGTTTGACAAACTTTATAAACTCAGTAGGGATGGTTTCGAATCGCAGGTGAGTCTTGTTCGAGGAACATGAGCACTGAAAGTCGCGAGGTGGAGCGATGTGGTCATCGTGCTAACTGAATGAAAAGAAACATCAAACAAATGTTCCGCGCATGAGCAAAGACATTCCCATTAAAAATTTTCATCAGGCAGTGCCAATGAAAAGACTGCGTCCAAAAACCCTCTTGTGCTATTGTTACATCTGTTCTATCACGGTCGCGGAAAGTTTTTTATTCGAACGTCCTTTTTCAAAGCAGCGACCGTTTTTGGGGTAACCTGTACACAAGCGAAAAGGAGCCATGCTATTGGTTGGGTTTGGCTCGGCTCCCCCCTCTCTCTTCCCTTTTCGTTGACGAGTCGAGCTTTGCTATGGAAACAGTGATTTTGACGGCAATTTTCTCAAAATTTATCGCTAAGATTTCAACCATATTCCAGAATTGAAATCACGTCTCAGAATTCTACCAGTCTGCAAAATCTCATCAAAATCGTACAGAGAGGTTTCGACTTGCATAAGGGGCCACGCGATCAAATCCCAGCGAGGCTGAATCCTGGGGGATACTATAAGGCTACTTCGTGCCTAAAAATTGATTCGTGACCCGCATTTATATTTTACCTTACGAAAAGATTTCAAGTGGTTGCCCCCTCGAGGGAAAACCTTCGCAACGAAGAAACACTGCCTTCGTTTTGCTTGCGACATTCCTTCGTATTATGGGATTCTTCGTGAGACATTTTCAGTGTACACCTATAATATGCCTCACCTGATACTCCTGCCTCAGGTGCCTCGTCCTTTTCGAGCCGTCGGCCGATGTACTCGCGAATGGTCAGGTGCGTCAGGTGTCCTCTGGTGTGCCAGAGCAGGCCGCAGAGGACGGCCAGGGCGGGTTTCGCCATTTTGGACACGCCTTCCAGCACGACGTCGCGAATGGCAGCACGGCAGCGGCGCACCGCGGACAGTGCGATGGCATGGGGTTTCAGGATTACCGGCCCACCGTAACCCCAAGACCAGCTGATTGCAAAAGTAGTTAAAAAACAAAAAATTACTCAGGCTACAAGGGGTCAAGGTGAATGTGTACCATATCAGGAGTCACTGCAAATCTGGTGGCTAGTTTGCTTCACCACAAAATTGGCAAGCGGTTTTGAATGACAGAAATTGGCAAGCCTGGTCTTTACTCTGCAGCTTATGCCATATATTGATTTCAGATCAGAGCGAGGATCAGAGCTTGTTGCCCATTTTCGGCATTCTAAACGACTTGCCAGTTTGGGGGCGCCCGTTTCGTGTTGCCGAAGGGCCCATCCGAGTCGAAACAGTCATTTTACAGCCGAAAAGTCGACTAGCACACTCTAAATGTCTTGAATAAATTTCCCATATTACGAAGGAAATGGCGCAAGCATGATACGAAGGTGGTTTTTCTTCGTATTACGAAGATTTTTCTTTGTATCTTACAATGAAAAGGCTAAAAAGATTCGTATTACGAAGGAATATTGCTTCGTATTATGCTTGCGCCGAATTCACTGTAACATACGAATAACATAGGTCAAATTTCATTGTAAGACATTTAGAGTGCAGTCATCTACAGTCAAAGTAAGTCAAATGGACTCTTCCATAGTCGCTCTACACTATTTTCGAGTGTTGCGTCCCCTCAAGATGTAGAGGGGAAACAAAAGAAGGAAAACAAAGAAGACCAACCTGAGGCGGCACATCGCGGGGGCGTGCAGTAAGACCCGCACGTTGTCCATCGTCTTCTTCTTCCTCCTGGACCGCTTGGCCCCCTGCCAGACCCAGTCGTAGTCGCCAAACTCCACGACCACGCTGCGCCAGGCGTGCGGGTCGCGAGACAGGGCGTGCCAGCGCTTGCACACCAGGCCGACGCCGTCCAGCAGCGTCACGCCGTCCGAGATGCGCGAGAACACCTCCAGCACCATCTCGTTCGGCAGGGTCTCCATGGCCAGGTGGAGGACGAGAGCGAAAACGCGCCAATCACTGGGAATCAAAAGGCTTGCGTCAAATAATGCACTATGCGTTAGAAGAGCCGTTGACATCGCACCAATGGTTGCAAAGCTGAATTGCACTCCATACATAATTAGCATAGGGCATTTGGGATGTATAGCGCGATTCACACAGAAAATCTGATAGTGATAATCTCACACTCTGGGAAATACTAGAATGTATCGCCGAAAAGGAGGTACACGAATGTACCGATAAAAACGTCGGACACGAATGTGTCACCGGACAAGGATGTTACTTCCTCAGGAACAAGGGACAATTTCGCTGATGTCTGACTTTTTACGGTGATACATTGATTCGTGTACGACTTTTGTCGATGATACATTCGTGTACGACCTTTTTACGGTGATACTTTTTGTATCTTATCGTTCTCTTTTAGCTGAATTATATACATTGTGTGCAGTAAGTACTGCATGCATGACAACCTAAGCTCATACAGCACATACTGCGTAACGTGCACACGGAAAAAAATTATTTCGCTAGGTTAGCGAACATCTGTTTGCTAGAGCAAAATTTGCTGGAATGACAAACAAATTCGCTATTTGAGTGCATTTGGATCGTCGATGTAGCGAACTTCCGCTTGCTGTTCTACCGATAATTTATTACTTACTATCCAACGAACATTTTTGCTGGAGGAGCGAACAATATGCGCTAACTTTTGAATGCTGTTCGAGCGATCTCCTTTTCATTGCCATCCAACGAACATTTCTGCTGGACAAGCGAACAATATTCGCTACATTAGTTTTCTGTGTGTTCTCTAGATAGCAAGGCTTTCCAAGTCAAGAGAAGACCTCTGGCCTCTGCTCCTCAGGTCGCTTGGTGGTCTGGTGGCAAAGCCTCTGACTGCTAACAAAGAGTTGGAGGGTTCGATCCCGGGCAGAATTGGGCAAGGTTTACCACTGGTACCCTGATTACGAGATCGCCGACATTCCAGATCATCGGCCGATTGTCTTTTTGAAAGTTGCCAACAAACTTACGGTCATAATGTCAGCGAAAAGTGTTCGCTAACGTAACGAACATCCTGGCAGCAAACACAATTTCGCTGCTTTTTTTAGGAGATTTATTTGGCTGGTTTAGCTTATATTTTTCGCTATTATAGTCAAAAATGTGCGCTGAAGTAGCGAATTTTCAGTAGCGAACAAAAGTTAGCCCGATCAGCGAAAATATTACTAGGTTCCCAAATGACGAACAAAATTTCGCTAGCTCAACGAAAATTTCGCTGGATCAGCGAAATTTTTTTTTTCCGTGTGCGCATTTTTGTCTTAATTGCTGTGAACCTGCTCATGCATGGCTGGTTTATTGTCTTTAAACCCTATGTATTTTTTAAACGTGTACGTGCCATGTGAGGCAGCATGTGTGCAGTATTAGTGCAGTCTACCTGATCATCTGTGCTAAGCCAAGTGTTTTTTTTTTCTTCAAAAAAAATTTTTTTTAGGGCTGTTTTTCAACTCACGAAGATTACCTGACAACAAAAGGGAGAAAATCGCCACCGATCGTGTACCACGGCCAGACGTCCTTGAAAGAAGTGACCGCGTCGGAGAAGTCCGAAGAGATACGGAGCCTGCGGAAAGGAAAGGTCTGTGAAGGTGGCCTGACCCATAAGGAATGCGCACGTCAGCGACGCAGACGAGGAGCCCTTCCGCCGCTTCAAGGCCTTATCTCTCTCTCCCTCTCTCTCTCTCTCTCTCTCTCACACACACACACACACACACCTACACACACGGGCGTAAGGTGGCGGAGGGCGGGAGAGTGAGTAAGAGAGGGGGAGGCGGAGGGTGTCTTTCTGAGAACTGCTAGGCTACGGTTCCTCGCCGCACGGCCGCCGCCCGTCCGCGTCCATGTGCGTTGTCCGTCAGTTCAGTCCACACTTTCAGCCGGGTCACATCGCGCGTGGTGGCAGGCATCGTGGCCGCGCGTACGATTCTTTCCGAGGGAACTGGCCACGGACAGTGGGCCAGAAGACTGGTATAGGGGCGGCGAAAATCCCGGACGCGTTTGGAGCTCCAGAGCCGCGAAACAGAACCCGAAACGAACGTGTGACCCCACCAATGGATTGCTCTCCGAACGAGAAATCCATTGGTGGCGGTCGCACGTTCGGTCCGAGTCCCGTTTAGCGCCTCTGGAGCTCAAAACGCGTCTTGAATTTTTGCCGCCTCCACCGGTCTTGCCACTGTGCCACGGGCCCGGTTCGCAGGCCGTGTGCGCTGCAGCCTGGGACGCGTCGCGAAAAGTATACACGCTATATGTTTAGGTAAATCTTGAACGTGGTGATGCGTGATTTTACCTGCGTAACATTTAGCATTCAATTGTGCTCAAATTTGCATAAATTTATGCATTTTTACGCAAAATACAATGCAAATTCCAGGCATCCACATAATCGTGCAAGTGACACGTACAAAATTCTATCTAAACAGTTGTGAGGAGTACGTAGTGAGAGAGTGAAGCTGTATTCACTTCGTCGCAGCTTTCGCGTGCTTCAATTGGTCTGCGTAGAATTTGTGTGGTTCAGCGGAAGAAGTGCTTTCAACGGTGTCGCGTGGGACATCCGCCACCCCATGGAAACAAACACCCAAGCGATTTTCCACTATTGGCAACGCCGTGCAACTCGGCGATGAGGAGGGCGACTGGATCCAACTCTCCGTTCGAATCTTCCTCAGCATCACTCACCTTGTGGAGTTTCCAGGTGACTCGGTGACGTTCTTAGATCTGATGTACTGTAACAAGTCCGTGAGGCATCGCTTACCAGTGGTGTACGCAGAAATTTTTAAATGGGGCGGGGGAAGAAGGTTAAGCCAGGCGTCTTGATGTTCAGGCGGAATGAACCACAACCTGCGCACCGTCCAGGCGACCAGTGCACTAAAGGAGGGAAGGGGTGTCTCACAATTATAAGCCGTACTATTTACGATTCGAAACTTCGGACAAGATTTGCACAAAATCGTGGATTGCTCGAACTTGTGCGTCAGTAAGCACTAAAGTGTGCGTTGTTTCGCACGAATAGACACTTCTAGCGAGGCCTGAAGTAGAACAAGAAGAAGAACATAGACCGGAAACAGTTCCAGAATTCGGCCTTTTTCGGGGGTTTTGGCAGGTTTAAATCAATTGTATTACATAATTTAGCTTCCTTGAATTTTTGGATTGAGAATAAACATTCGTCATCAAGAAATGAGCGTAATTTGGCAACTGTTTCCGGCTTATGTTCTTCTTCTTGTTCTTCACTTCAGGCTTCGCTAGAAGTGTCTATTCGCGTGTTCTAAGGTTCAATTCTGTGTAAAAGCTGTGCTTGAAAGAAGTACTCAATAATTTAGCGAACAAGCAGTAGTTAAGGGTCGAAATAGTGTTTCAATGAGGAATTTGCGCAACGTTAGACTGTAGGTGGATGGTGTTCAGGGCCCGTCTAACGCAGCCTCAGGGCGAAGGGGTCCACTGGTAGAAAAAAAGTACGGAGCAAGTACGGAACGTGTCTGGTAAATGTTTTGCCTGAACCGTCCGTACCTTGCCAAGCACGGAAGTTCTGTACTTTACACTGAGAAAACCTTACAAACTATATTGGGCCTTACAAAGAAAAGTAGTTTGTATAACAAAGTATTTTGAGCATACGTAAGCTTACAAAGAAAATACTTCGTAATGTACGAACTATTTCTTCGTATAACAAAGTAATTTAGTTTGTTATACGTATGCTCAAAATACTTCGTAAGGTTTTAAGAGTGTGCGTACAAGTTTACATGAGATCCTTCTGGAGACCACAGAGAACCACGGAAGTTCTTTACCTGTTTTCCGAACAAGTTTACATGAGATCCTTAGGGAGACCCCATTTTCCATACATTTTCCGTATGTAACCACGGAATTTTTTAGTGTCATCGTAACACTGCGTAACGTTATTTACGAACGTCCCCATGTGACGCAATGCTTCGTAATTCTATAGAATTCCCTTTAAGGAATTTGGTACACAACTGACCTGCTGAAGCCAATTCCGATCACTCGATAAATCAAGTTCTACGCGAGCCTGTGGTGGCGCGCAGGTTGGGATTGGCACGCGCTTTCTTAGGAATGCTCGCAGATGCTAGGTGAGCTCACCTTCGTCTGGCTCGCCGTTGCTGTTTTGGGTCAATACAACGTCCAGTCCGGATTTCTTCCTCTAAACCCTCTTTGACTGTCAACGTGTACACCAAAATTCTCAGTCACGCCGATTTTTGGCATGCCTTTTTATGTCAAGCCGTTTTTCTGCGTGACATTTTATTCACGCCCCTGCAGCGGCACCAAGTCACGCCGGTAGATTCAGTGAATGCTAAAGAATGTGACATTTTTTTCACATTCGTTCTAACGCGATGTCACGTTCATGGAACAAGAGTGCACAGTTTGTTTCATTCGTAAAATTTTGACTTGTACTGAGGTAGAGCAGATTTTCACCCTGTTCTGCCAAATTCAATTCCCTATAGAACTTCACTTCTTACGCTCTTAATGTCTTACGAAGGTTTTTCTTTGAATCTTGCACTGAAAATATAGAAAAGATTCGTATTCCGCAGGAATACCGTTTCTTATTAAGCTTGCGCCTACGTAACTGCAACGTTGCTGAAATTTCGTTGAAGGGTATATGAAGTGTATTGTGCTGCCTTCAGGATTTTCAGACACAGTTGAGATCACCTTCACAATCCTATTTCCCCTTTGCACAATTTTTTCCAGTGTCACCTCAAACTCCTTCTCTACTATTGTCACACGGTAAATTTCATACGAAGAAATCTCCCATAACACGAAGGCAATGGCACGTGCATGATATGAAGGCAGTTATCTTCGTATTACGAAGGTTTGTCTTTGTTCTTTTCTTCAATGTACTATAAAGATTCGTATTTTGAGGAAAGTTTTGCGTCACGCTTGCGCCGAATTCACTGTGAAATAGATTAAATTTCATTGGAAGACTTTCAGAGCGTGCCCGCACTAGAATACTATCCCTTTACCTAAAATGAAAAGTGCTTCAATATACATAGTCCAAATCGCTCCTCACTTAAAAAACCCACACAGAAAAATCTCAAGAAATCAGTAAAATCCGACCTTAACACAACCAACTTTTATTCGAAATAATCCAATGAACACACATTTCATGCATTTCGTGGACTCAAGGCGAACAGCCGACAAGACCGTATGAACAATGAAGGGAGTAAAGTGTCCCCGAGAACATAGATTTAAGCAGTCCAAATCAAAGGAGCGGCAAAACAGAAAAACGCATGCGGACGACATAAGACGATTTTTGTATTCGCACTACTAACACACTGTTAAAACGCTGGATGTACGTTCGTTTATACGCATGCTCATACGCTTATTTTTGCCGCACATACGCAACGTTGAAAAAAAAAGGGTTTTCACGGAGTAATACGCCTGTGAAAACTGCACTCAACATACAGACTTTGCATATTACCAGCTGTGGTAATATGTGCCCGCGTTGCAAGATTTTGTTCAAATGTTCGTGGCACTTCATCTGGAACGTTTTCAGGTGTCAACCGTCTCGTTTTTTCATGTTTTCGGATTTGGTACGCCTTTAATGTAAGCCATGGGCTTGAATTCGTTAACATCGCACTACTTATAACAAACATTATAGTTTTGAAAAGAACGGGTCAATGCGAGGGGTGAGTCACTCAGCGTTCTGGTGCACACATGAGTACGGGTGAGTAAACCCTCTAATACACATAAATTTTACATTTTTAAATGTGTTATAACCTTATCTAGTGGTTTAGACGACACACAACGCCAAATCGTGTACGTAACAAGTTAGCGATTTTGCCGTTTTTTAACTTGTGAGTACACTATGAGTACACCAGTGATTCACCCCTCGGATTAATGAGATAAATCGGTACTTAAACGTAAACCCTGACTTACGTTTGAGCCCTTTTTATCCCATTTTCCTTTTCTTTCTCACAAGTCTATAATGTTTGTTTCAACCGCGTTAATTCAGGTAACTCCGAGCCCAAACTGAGGATGTCCATTTTAATTGCCCTCGGAAGATATAAAACAATTCGATGGTCTGCACTAAATGAGGTCTTCTGAGTCATTTTCTTTTAAAATGAACTGCTCTTAAATGATTGTATCCAAATGTTTTATGTTCAGTGTACGGTTTTTGTCCTGCGTCGTTGTCTAAGGTAGGCTGCATGTTAACCTTTAAGCACTTCACTTTTTTTTCGACGCTTTGTCTGTTTCTTCTTCGCTTCTTATTGGCTTGGAGTAAGAAGCAATGTTTGTGGTTGGGTTTGTGGTTTGTGGCTGGGTTGATTGTTGTGTGGGACAAGCATGCCTTCAGCAGGAGTAGTGGCCGGTACACACCAAATGCCAATTTATTTTTGTTGTCCGTAACCAGTAACATAATTGTGCAAACGCTATGTACAATTGAAAACATAAAGTAGGGACAATATTTCCCTATTTTGTGTACACTCTGAAAACTTAAGAAACTATTTTGAGCATAAGCTTACGAAGAAAATAGTAAATTAGTTTGCTCAAAGTACTTCGTGTTCTAAAATGTACCTAATTTATGGACTGAATTGTTCATAACTAATACCGGTGCAAAAAGTAAATTGACATTTAGTGTGCAGTGGCTCTCCCTTCTGCTACTGAACCCTTGCGTGCTTTCGGACGCCACAGGAAATGGCCGCTCTCCGTCGACGACTGCGAGACCGGTGGACACAGCAGCGGCGTCGGATGTTCCTCTGGAGGAAGTCTCCATCATCGCCGAGTCTCCGGGCTTCGGGGTGCCCGTGGTCGTTGGCTGGTGCTGCTCGCCGGGCTGCGTGGAGGACTTCGCGAGGTGGGAGGACCTGCGGGTCCACTGGCGGGCGCGCCACGACCCCGCCTCCTGCCCCGAGTGTCTGCAGAGCCACGAAGAGCCGCACGGAGAGGGCGACGTCAAGTGCCCGATGTGCACAGCCGGGTTCACGTCCGGCGTCCATCTTGCGGCCCACAAAAACAAGTTCCACCGCGTGGTAAGTGAGCATGGTCGCCGCCGGAAAGTACAAGGGGGAAATCACTGTGAATTTCAGTGTAGAAATCCAATGACTTTCAGTCGAGTTTCAATGAATTTTAGTCCAGTTGCGATGAATTTTAGTCGAATTTAGATGAATTTTAAAGAATTTTCTTTTCTTTTCCATGAGTAATGAATTTGAGTGTAAAAATTTGGCGGGAGTTATTTCCCCTTGGTATAGTATCTCTGTCGCATTAAAAATTCCGAGTTTGTCGTTATTCAACGATTATGACGTCATGTCCGATGAAATGTGGACTTACGCTTATTCCTTTGAATATGATGTCATATTCATTCGAATGTTGTTAAAGGTTCAAATGGATGTGACATCCTGATTAACGGTCGTGTCACGTTTCAACGGAGGTGATACCGTATTCAATCGACGTGACAAAATTGACATTCTAACCAGTATGACCTCACATTCGTTGAATAGCGTTACTCATTACGCAACGTAATGTTTCGAAGGAATATTGCTTGCTTCGTATTAAGCTTGCATATAATCCACTGTGGCATAGACATCCAGAGTGTACAGGAGCTAACTAGGCATGTTATTTTTCCTCCGGCGATTCAGGCGGTTTGGTGCCAAAGGGACCCCACCCCTGGGCGGATGTTAGCACGCACTAAACTCTTGTTGACTATTTAAATGCATAATTGTGCATGCACAAGTTGTGCATCATATTATACACACCTTACTTGCGTATCTGTGCATGTGTAATTATGCTTATAAAAGTCCACATGAATTTAGTGTGCAGTGTAGCTTTCAATAGAAACTGTTTCCTCTGCGCATAGGTTCTAGAGCCGGCGATGAAGACTGTGCTGGAGCCGGCCTTGGAGACTGCGCTGGAGCCGGCCATGGAGTCTGTGCTGGAGCCGGCCATGGAGTCTGCGCTGGAGCCGGCCATGGAGTCTGCGCTGGAGCCGGCCATGGAGTCTGCGCTGGAGCCGGCCATGGAGTCTGCGCTGGAGCCGGCCATGGAGTCTGCGCTGGAGCCGGCCATGGAGTCTGCGCTGGAGCCGGCCATGGAGTCTGCGCTGGAGCCGGCCATGGAGTCTGCGCTGGAGCCGGCCATGGAGTCTGCGCTGGAGCCGGCCATGGAGTCTGCGCTGGAGCCGGCCATGGAGTCTGCGCTGGAGCCGGCCATGGAGTCTGCGCTGGAGCCGGCCATGGAGTCTGCGCTGGAGCCGGCCATGGAGTCTGTGCTGGAGCCGGCCATGGAGACTGCGCTGGAGCCGGCCATGGAGTCTGTGCTGGAGCCGGTCATGGAGTCTGTGCTGGAGCCGGCCACGGAGTCTGCGCTGCAGCCGGCCATGGAGTCTGTGCTGGAGCCGGCCATGGAGTCTGCCATAGAGTCTGCCTCAGCACCGTCCAAGGAGAACGGCATGGTCGCTGTCTCCGACCATGGGGACGGCGTCGTTGCTGTCTCCGACCACACTGGTAAAACTAGGGCGTAGTATTACGCCTTCCGTGAAGCGTACAGCCTTTACGCCTCTTTTGAAGCGTACAAGAGCTCATCCACTCCTGTCTTAATCTATGGGGAATTGCCTTGAAGCGTAGTTGTACACACTACATTCTCATGGACTTTTTAAATGCATAATAATGGATTTCTATCTATAGTTATGCATGCACAGATGCGTTCATAGGGTATTTATAATATTATGCATACCTAATGGACGTATCCGTGCATGCGTAACTAAGGATATAAAAAGTTCAAAAGAAGTTAGTGTGTATACACCAAGCGTACGCTTCAGGAAGGGCGTACAGTCTTGAAGCGTAGTTCTACGCTTGAATGAAACGTTGAAGTTCGCATTACTTCTACCAGTGCACGAGGACGGCCTGGTTGATGTCTCCGACCACGAGGACGGCGCGGTCATCGTCGTCGGCTGGTGCACCTTCCCTGGCTGCTCCGAGGAGTTCCTCACATGGGACCGTTACGTCCAACACTACTTGGCCGCCCACAACATGTCCGCTTGTTCGCTGTGCTTGGAGCCCGCTCATCTGGAGCCGCACGGCCGATTCGACTTCCAGTGCTCTAGCTGTCCCGCCAGATTCACGCATCAGTACTGCCTCGTGAATCACAGGTAAGGCTGACTCAGGGGTGAATCACTCCCTTGATCACTCCGCGTTCGGTGTACAGATGAGTACATGAGTACTGGAGTTCACGCAAGTTCACGTTGCTTTGACTCATTAATTTCACATTTGTAAACGTCTTAAGGCTTTATTTAGCGTTTTAAACGGCACTCAACGCCAAATCGGTCGCGTTTAAATACAATTTTCATCGTGCAATGCTTTTGCATTGCACGTGAACGATCAAAACCCGTTTTCCATAAAATTTTGTACTTTCAACAACGCGATGCTCATGGTTGTAGATGGTGCGATAGTCGCTTCATCTACTAACATTTCAGCGCAAACGGGGTTGCGATATACTCATTTTTGCGGACTGAGGGACTTCCGTCAGTTCGGTCCATGACGAAACATTGATTAGCAGCTGCTCCGCTTCCCTCCGTCCGATCGGGCGTCATTCTGGGCTCAAAATGCTTCTTTGGGAAGGCCTTTTTTTTAAGACACGAAAAGTTAAGAAAAACGTAGAGAAATCGCCTATTTTGCGGCATAGTGACGCTTAATACTATAAACACCTTACCTACGTAATCCGTGCATGCACAGTTATGCATAAAAAGTGCATGATTATGCATTTAAAAAGTCCACAAGAGCTTAGTGTGAAACTATGAATTACTACACTGCAAAGCCAGTGGTAAGTTTGCTTGCCACAAATTTGGTCGGAAATCTTCAAAAGCTTGCCCAATTTTGGCAAGCTGGGGAGTATTTCGGGGACAAGATTGCCAATTTTTGGCATTTTAAAACGGCTTGCCAATTTTGTGGCAAGGAAACTTACCACCGGCTTTGCAGTGTTTTGGTATGTACAGAAAAGTTGGTTGTTATCGCTCGTTAACTGTTCGACAGGAAAAATTTTCACCATTTGGTGGAAGCACCGCCGCCGTCGGACCACTGGGTGGGTTCCAGAGCCGCGGCCGGTGAAGTCGCGGGCCAAGCGGCTGGGTGGTGCACCTTTCCCAACTGCGAGCGGCAGTGTGCCATGTGGGAAGAACACGTGGCACACCACAATGCGTGCCACTTCAATGCCCTTTCGGTGAGCTGAGACTCTTGGTCGCTGGTTATTTGCCCTAGATTTTTTGAATTTGTATTAGATAAGGACACGCATAAGAATGAGATATTTGAACAAATTTTAACGAACTTTATCCATACAGTAGTTGAAATGCATATTTCAGTAGACTCATATCGGTGTTTCCAGCACACTGTGAGAAAAAAGTACGGAACATGTCTGGTCAATAATGTGCCTGGAACGTCCGTACTTGCCAACTACGGAAGGTTCCGTACTTTTTTTCCGTACCCATTTACATGGGTTCATATGGAGCCAGTACGGAACGTTCCGTACTTTTCTCCGTACCTCCGTACTAAATTTTTCTGTACCATTTCCGTACAAAAGTACGGAATTTTTTACAGTGCACTGCGACTTCACTCTACATATTGGGTAGTGAAGATTCTCTATATTGTGGTGAATGTTCATATTATGGTGGTGCAGCTGACTTTATAACTTGCAATTGAGAAAGCACTGTATCTTATAGATATTTTGACAAAATTCGTTTCTATTATGGAGAAAACCTCCACCATAATTGGGTGCAGCCTTAAAACCTTAAGATGTGTTTGGAGCATACATACGCTCAAACTAATTTACTTTGTCATACGAAGAAATAGTTCGTGCGAAGTATTTTATGTGAAGTTTATGTATGCTCAAAATTCTTTGTTCCAAAGGGAAACAACTCCAGCCTATTGTGTACTCCGAAATTCCTCAAACTTGTAAAATTCACTGAAATTAATCAAAATTCATCGAAATTCTATTGAAGTTCATCAAAATATGACTGAAATTCATCAAATTTTGACTGAAATTCATCAAAATTTGACTGAAATTCATCGAATTTCGACCAAAATTCGACTGAAATTCATTGGGTTTGCACACCGGAATTCAACATGATTTCCCCTGCTTTGTTCTAACAAACTGCTTTGCTTTGTGGGGCCTGAAATAGTTTGGAAGGTTTTCTCAGTGTGGTGTAGCCTCTCACCGCAAGACATTTACAGTGATTCACACAGTAAATGTCTCACGGTGAAAGGCTGCACCAACATAATATGGTGGAGATTTTCTCCATAATACCAACGAAATTCGTCAAAATCTCTATAAGGTACTGTGAATTCTCAATGGTATGTTACGAAGTCAGCTGCACCACCATAATATGGAATATTTTCACCATAATATGGAGAATCTTCACTGTAGAACATTTAGAGTGCACTTCTCTACGTTTCGCTTCAGGGCCGCGCGGCGCTGTGCCCCTGGTGCCTGGAGGTGGGCCCACGCGACGGGCTGCAGTTCCACCTGGAGGCGCACCGCTCGGGCGACGTGCCGTGCCCTCTGTGCCCCGCCCGCTTCCTCGGGGACGCCTCCCGCCACGTGCAGGCCTACCACCGCGTGGGGCCGGACGGCTCTGTCCCCGCCGTCCTGGGGTGGTGCGAGAGGGCGGGCTGCCGCGCTTCCTTCGCTACTTGGGAGGACTGCGTGCGCCACTGCATCCACCACCACCACTCGCCGTGCCCCGACCCCGCCCTCGTGTGCCTACTCTGCATGATGCGGCTGAAGACTGTCGACCACCGCCAGCGCCACGTGCTGAAGCACTTTCGGCAAGGCGGGTGCCATCACGTGTGCGAGGTGGACAGTTGCACAGCGCGATTTTTCGATCGGAATTCGCTCCTTCGGCACATGAGGTTGTTCCATCGGCTGCATGTCGCACGTTGATGGTTCAGCTTATCCTAGACTTCGATCTTTGTTCACACTAAATTACTATGAAGTTTTTTCTGCGCGCGAATGCACGATTAATTAAACATGCACTTCGTAACGCACGAATTTGTGCGCTACAATGCACGATTTCATGCGCAAGTATGCAGAAAATCGTGCATTGTCGCGCGCAAATTCGTGCGTTACGAAGTGCATGTTAAATTTCGTGCACTGGCGCGCAGAAAAACTTACATAGTAATTTAGTGTGTTGGGTGGGCTTCCCTGATGTGTTGGTAAATTTTTGTAGCGTGTGAAATTTTTTGTTCAACTGTGTTCTTACACGCGCTTACATTCATGCGAAACTCCTTACTTCTCTATACGGGGAGCACGCATACTGAAAATTATGTAGTACTCCACTGCTGTCAAAGTGTTCAGTAGGTCCCATGACAACACTGTAAAAATAAATCTCGGAATTAACGAAGGTGGTCTGGCAAGAATTTTGCCAAAGTACCTTCTTGAATTGACGGCGGTTCGGTTCGTGGTGACGAAGAATTTCGGTCAGTTACAAAATTTCTCCGTACGTACATCGTAAATTAGCGACGATTCTTCGAAAACTCCCAAGGATTCTTCATTCTCTTTTACGAACAATCCTGGTGAATTTTCAAAGAGATCTTTGGCAATCTTTTTGCCAGATGCACCTTCGACAATTCTTACGTTATTTCTAACATTGTTGCTTCAGAGAAAAAGGCTTCAAACTTAGTTCCTTAGATCAAATTATGTACGAGCTTACACAATAAGGCGCATGCTTGCTTTTCGTGAATTCGCTTCAAATTGTGGACTGCGATTCAGCGTACAAATTTGTGCCGAAAATTTCTCGTTCTCAAAAGTGTGCGAGACCTGGTGCAGAACACACTAAAAAATTCATGTGATGTACCACATACCATGAATTTTCATGTGTCCAATTGCACGCGGCAGCTGTGAAACGATGACCGGGGGACCAATTTAATTTCATAGAGAAAATAAGTGAGAGATTTTCTGTATGTTTTCCCCATTTAATTATTATTTTGCCTTTTGTTTTTGAGTCTATGCCTAATCTGTTCATTAAATAAATGCGCGTTTTTGTTTCATTTGCACTGCAAATCCGGATGTGACAGTCTCACACTGTTTAACGCTAAATGTCTCGGATTTGCTGTGTGGAACTGACCAGCAACTTCCTGGTGCTTTTGACTCGTCCCGTAGAAAGTCTGACTGTGAATCTTTGGTGACCATTTTGCAAGGACATGTTTTTTGTACTCTCTACTCCTAAACTATTCATAGAGCTCAATGTGAACTATGTCGCTTATGGTTGCTGACAGGCGATCAGTGCCAAAACAATTGGTGAAATGGTATGTTCTTCAGTAGTTAATGACAGTAACACAAATCGGGCTACCAGGCACCCGAAGGACGACACAAGAAAAGAGCAAGAGTTTCTTGTAAGTTGCAGGAAGTTCAAAGGACGAAAGCTCTTGGGAAATGTAATACGGTGTGTACCGAGACTAACGTAACATTAATTCTTGAGTTATTGTTTGTAGCCGAAACTAAGCGAAAAAAAGCTAGGTCTGACGTTTGGTAGGTGCTTGAGAGAGAGTTAAATGTAACTAATGACTGATTTCTTCTAACAGTACACCTACCTTGTTGCCCGTTCACCATTTTGTGCACATGTAAGCTACACTGTTAAAAATGTTATGAATTTTCATTACAAATATGCATTGAAAATTCATGAACGCAATTAAATTTCATAGCGGCCATAAAATTTCATAAATATAATGAAATGTCAGAACACATTCCATGAAACGTTATAATATCTCCTTGAAAAATCAAGTCTGCAATGAAACGTCAAGAAATTTGATGAAAAGTCAAAACGTGAAACTACAAATTTAGTGTGGTTCTGAAAATTTATAACCAAGATATAAAATTTCATGTCGGTCTTTGACTTGTGATGGGCAGGTTTTGATGGCTCTTACACTGATAAAAATTTTGTCGTAACTTAGCGACACATTTATTGCCAACTTTTTAAGCAAAACAAGATTTGTTGTGGAACAAATAGCTTGTTAAACCGTAGGCGTATTGGAACTAAGGGATAATTTCACAACGACTAAATTGTAATAACGCACCAACAATAACACATCAACGACAAGTATTGAAAGTCCAAAAGGTATTTTGTAATGTCTGCGACAATATTCATAGAGTAATTTTGTCGCTAAATTTATTTAGCATGGTTTTTTAAACATTAGTAATTTCCCTATGACTTAGAAGAACAAAATAGATGATTATTCATAATTTGCTTTAATTGAGCAGATAATTGCAAAAGATGTTGTTTCCACATAAATTGTATCGTAAAGAGTGATAACAAGAATTTTGTCCTTCAACGACAAAATGTCGCTTACTAGACTCAACGACATTTGTTTCGCTTTGGTTCATGATGAAATTCTATGTTTTGGAACGACTAAATTTTCACTCATCTGATTATTTCTGTACAACCATTTTTTAACAGTGCACATTGCCCAGGTGGAAGGAACTTCAGGTTTGACTGAGTTTGAAGCTAATCGTGATTCGGAATATTCCTATGCTCTTCCCTGAGTAAATGTAGCGTGATAATATGAGTATAGTAAATCAAACGTCGCACCAAAAAAGAATTTTAGTATCATTTAACGCAAACTGTGGTCAATCCACTGCTCACAGGGTGCGGCCTGTCAGCCACCTGGGCTCAAAGTCAGGTTTCAAGAAGCTGCCGCTAGGTGGCGCTCGGAGCGCCGTGTTCGTTCACTTGTAAGTTTTGCCTATTCATTTAAGTAAAATCAATATTTTTTCAAAAGTTTATCCTTGGTTACCCAAGTGAATATCTACTCTAGACGTATGCTAAAAGTGTTAAACAAAATATTACTCTGAAGTCGAGAAAAACGCAGAACCATGTTACGACTCGCTGGCGCCTACAGTCGGCCATTGGGTTAGGTCCAGCGAGAGCCTCCTCGTGATTGTGGTACAACTTGCCACCAACTCATCTCACTGTGTTACACTCCGGGTTAAGCTCTATGTCTAAGGTGACTTAGCCCGCTTGCAATTTTCAGAACTGGTTTTGAACTAAGAGTCAAGATACCGGTCGAGATTACATCACCCATTTATGAAATACAATACCACAATTGGAAATAAAATGTCAAAACTCGCATATGAATTTTCATTAACAATTTAGTGAAGTTTCACAACACTTGGCTATGAAATTTCATGGTGATTTTCTGCAATGAAATTTATTTCATTGCAGAAAATCGCCATGAAATTTCATAACAGAAAAGTGATAATAATTACATTAACATGTTATGAAATTTCAATCCGAATTTTTTAACAGTGTATGTATAATTCAACTCATAAATTGGGGATAATATTTACATACTATTCGTAAGTGTTCATAGAATTGTTCCCAATTCATAACTTGCACCGACTGAATTCTGGCATTTTCTTTTCAGAAAGGCCCATTTAGTGCGGCAAGCCAATCTACTCCGCCAGCCATTTCATCCATGCCGTTTTAAGGATTAATTTCATGAAATTCATGAAAACTGAACTGCAGTCAAAGAGTTCCGCTTCACCAGTGTCAAAGCGTGTGCCTGCACGTTTTTGGGCCCTTTGTTACCTAGCTCTGTTGGGTCTAACTGCATCTTTACGTCCTCTTCTTCTATATCATTGCAAGTCTTATTTTTCATGCTGCTGGTGACTGGGTCGGTTTTGCATGTCTGAGGTGGGAACTCTGCACCCTTAAAACCTTACGAAGTATTTTGAGCATACATACGTACAAACTAATTTCCTTTATTGTACGAAGAAATAGTTCGTAAATTACGAAGTATTTTCTTTGTAAGCTTATGTATGCTCAAAATACTTTGTTCTAACAAACTGCTTTGCTTTGTAAGGCCTGAAATAGTTTGTAAGGTTTTCTCAGTGTCTCCATGTAGCTCGGGTCTGGGAAACCAGTATTTGCTTCATGTTCAGGTTACACCTGTCATGGAAATAAGTGGGTCACTAGTCCCACTGCCTGTAAGATCGGCGAACAGAGCGCTCACTCCTGTCTCTGCTTCCAGGTTCTGAAGCTACCGCTGCGCCCCGCATCTCCGTGAAGAGGGACTACCGCCTGGAGCGCTTCGGCGCCTCAAGCCCACTGCTGCTGTCGGGGCCCGCTGCAACAGGCGGGCGGGGCGACGAGGCCGGCGAGGGGCCAGCCAGCGCGAATGGCCCACCAGCCAGTCCGGACGGGGAGACGCCCCCGAGGCCACCTTCGCCGTCGGACGCCGCAGCGCACGTGGTCCGGGAAGCGCCTCCGTCGCGTGACGACAGCGCTGTCGTCGGCTGGTGCACCTTCCCGCGCTGCGACCAGCCCTTCCGGTCTTGGGAGGACCACGTCGTTCACCACAGGATGTGTCACAACTCGGCACCGGTGAGCACAACGGCCTGTTGCGCTGATTGCTGGGCGAGGGGTCCACCACATTCTAAATGTTGTGCGGTGAAGATCCTCCATATTATGGTGAAAATGTTCCACATTATGGTGGACTTCATAACACCGTTGAGAATTCACTGTACCTTTTAGACATTTTGAAGAATTTCGTTGGTATTATGGAGAAAATCTCCACCATAATATGTTGGTGCAGCCTTTTACCGTAAGACATTTACAGTGCACACGGGAATCTTATACACTAGATGTCATGAGACTTGTTTTGTCCCACAAGTTGCGCAATTAATTGTAAGCACACCCGACGCTGATACAATTTTGTTCCCGCCTGGCGACACATTTTGTCCGACGCCTGCTGCAAATTGTACTTTCACCAGACAATTTGTCCCGCCTCGGGACCCAAAATTGCGTCACCATCGGATGTTGTTAAGATTGCTTCATTCATGGGGTAAAAGATCCAGTGTGTAGGAATCATGTGAATTGTAACCACGATAATGACGTGAAAATCGTGTTAAAAACAGTTTTCTAAGCCTTACATGGGATATTATTAATCAGCCAGAAGTGCGATATCTGGTCTGTTTTATCTTTTAACAACATATTTACTAGACTCGGGAATCATGTCCACGCTCAAATTGTGAGAGGTGGGCCCCTTGTTGCCGGGTCACCGGTCAAAACACCAAATGTTCTGTTTATTTCCCTGCGGCATATGCTGCTCTGTCCGCTGGTGACCCAATCTGACCTTCGAAGGGGCGATACAATTTGGAGTATCGACAAAATTTGGCAATAAACTGTGAACTTGTCCCATTCACTTATCTGAATTTTATTGCCAAATATTGGCATAACTGCAAAGTAACACACTCTTATTCCCGGAACGGGACATCACGTTCAAACGTGACATGATGCCACGTTCCTTTGAGCATCGTGTCTCATTCGGTGGGGCGTGAATCAGTCATAAATTGGCTTGTTCACGTTCAAACGAATGTCACTTAATGGCTCAATGCTCCAAGGAACGTGACATCTTGTCACATTCGTTTCAACGTGATGTCCCGTTCCTGGAATGAGAGTCGATGGGAGTGCACTAAATTATTGGGGATGCTTTCGTTTATCACCTTCTTTGAGGGCGAGGTTTTATGTACGGCCCTATGGCGATACACAGTTGTACCTCTCACAAAAACTCTACGAAGAGTCGCTTCGTAATACGAAGAAAATGAAGGCATTGTAAAATCTGCGAAGAAATGCTTCGTATTATGAAGCCAAATCCTTCGTAATACGAAGCATTTCTTCATAATACGAAGCAATTCTGCAATGCCTTTATTTTCTTTGTAGTTATGAAGCAAATACTTCGTAGGCTTTTTAGAGTGCTCCAGAAAAAGGGCTAAAAGTTTCGCCTTCGGATTTGGGGTGACCGCATCGCTTATCTTTGATAACACCACGTTTCAGAGGGTGCATCACTGTGCTCCAGCGTACTCTGAAAACACCTTAAAGTATTCGTAAATTGTACATTATGAAACGTTGGGGGGGGGGGGGTTTACCCCGAGACACTGAAGCAACTGAATGAAATATTCTCTCTTTCAGCGAGGGGCCATTTGTCCCATGTGCCTGAAAATTACGTCATCCGAAGGAATGCAGTACCACCTGGAGGCGCACCGCAGGGGAGACGTAGCCTGCTCCCTCTGCTCCGCCCGCTGCATCTACAGCCTCTCCCCTCACATGGCGGAGTTCCACCATGTGATGCAGGACGGCACTGTCCCGCCCGTGCTGGGCTGGTGCCCCAACAGTGGGTGCAGCTCGTCCTTCAGCTCCTGGGAGGACTACATTCTGCATTATAAACGTCACCACTCCAAAGTTCCCGTCCGTCGTGGAGTGTGGCAGGGGTGCCATCTTTGCCTGGCCGAGGTACACAGCACGGATGGAGAACAGCGTGAGCGGCATATCCGGGAGCACTTTAACCCCGAGATAGATCATTTCCTATGTGACATTTGTCCAGCACGCTTTCTGGAAGCGCATCAGCTGGCGGAACACAACCAGAGGTTCCACAGACGATTGTGAGCGTTGATTGCGCTAGTTTCAGGCAAATGTCTCTTTAGTTTTTCTAGATTTTGGTTTGTTAGGATTTTTCCTATTTGAAGAGAACTATTATTTGTACTATGTACGTAAACTTTGCAATGTGCGGATTCGGAATTTAAGTTCGGAAGAACATCAACTGGCGGATCACAGTTATAGACGATTTTGAGCGTCCATTGTGCTAGTTTCTTCGCATTTCAGCTGTTTTCTAGAGTTTATATTGCCAAGGAATTTAATTTGAATCACTCAATTTAGCGAGAATTGTCACTTGTTCATTTTAATTGAACTTTGTAAAGGGTTGATTTAGTCTCTGAAAGAAATGTGCTGTTTGCTTTTAAGTTACGAAGAATTGACCATTATGATACTTATTTTTTGATATTTGGAATAAAGGAGTCTGAACGATATGCTGCCGTCTTGCTTACCCCCCCCCCCCCCCCTTGCTTACTTTCTCCCCCTCTTGCCGCACTCGACTACCGGTGCACTTTCTTGTGCCTCCTGAGGTTACTTGATTGATGAAACATTTCTCCAAAAAGAGGGAAGCAGTACAGAAATAAACAGAACTTTATCAAAAAACAGTTGCGTTTATTAACAAATCGTCACATTATAGGTCACAGCAATTTTTTCAAGTGTGGACACATACAGCATTTAGTTTTGCCTGAGGCAAAAGAGGATTAATTATAAGTTGGTTTAATTGATCCAGGAGGCGGAAGAAGGGGATCACTCCATTTTAACAATTTTTCAGGAGAAACAAAAAACTGTTACCAGGAAAAATAAAACCATGCAAAGGAATGCTATAGATGATAACAAGTTCAAGAAATGTAAGTTGAATTTTGAGATGAACATGAGGAAGGTCAGGTCACTGCTTATAGGATTTCTGTGACTTATTACTTTCCATTACAATGGAAGAAAGAGTCATCTCAACTAAGTGGAATTTGGAGACAAGTCAAGTGGAACTATAGTCAGCAGAGAGTGTTGGTTCCTCTAGAGCATTTAATTGACTTAGCTCTCTTTTCCGTTTATGTTCTTAAAACAAAACGGGTTTAAGTTGACTTGTTTTTTTTAAATCATAACATAAAAACACAAGTTGAGTTATCTCATATCAACAATATGTGCAATGGAGTCATGTTGACGTTGGTTGAGTTCTTTCCATTTACCGCTAAATTGAGACCGTGAAAGGGGTCAAGTTGAGTTATATCTTTTGTCGAGGTGCATTTTCTCCTTAACTGCTAGGAATTGAGTCACATAATTTGGTGCAATGATGCAAACCATTCTAAGGCACAATTATAGAATAAATACTCAATTTGGAGATAAGTTGAATTATTTATTATTTCCTGCTTCTGCTTCCTGGCTCAATTCCAGCCAGAACTAGTTGTTCGAAACGACATCGGTTCGACGTTGAATCAATGGATTTCTCGTCGAGTCTACGTCGAATCGACGTCGTTTCAAACACCCAATTCTGGCTGGGAAGCAGCCCGAACGACTGACAGAAAGAGTGAAAAGACAAAACTTTGCTGACATTCAGGACCACCTGCATTAAGAGTCATAGCTGGCCTGCCAATTTTATTAGCAGCTGATTTACGGGAAAAATTTTAGGGCATGGGATGAGACTGTAACTTTTTAGCCCTGCTCCTTGCCTTCAAGCGCAGAGTATCAAGGAGCCTGGCACAGGAATGGCACATTCTCTTTCTGGGTCTGACTAATCTGCAGCATTGCAAGGAACGTAGGGTGACAGAGTATCTGGCTTCCTGGTAAGGATTTTCGTCTATTTTCCCCCTTGTGCTAGACGCCCAAAAGGGTTTGTACTTCTCATGGGTCACCCCTGTACAAATTTCAAGCTGCCAGACAATATTTACCACTCTTTCCATCGCAGCAACAAAAGCAGAAACGTCATGCTGATAGTGAAGCTTCACCATCTTCAGACCAGAGACAAAATTTGAGATGGGAATGGGGACACAGTGCACACTCAGATGGACGTCTCCACGGGGGTTGAAATAGATCCTGCGCTGAACGCACTTTTCGGAATTTCTTGACAGTTGCATGGTGTGAATTCCTTTCCCGTCCAAGACACAAATCCAGTTGGGTTTGAGACGCATACGTAATGCTTCAGCAGCAAGAGCCAGCAGATGGTTTGTCTGTGGACAGAGAATGCAATTTAATTAAAGATTCAACTATTATTTGTGACTGAAAGATTTGCGATTGACACTGACATGTGATACTTACTGAGTGATCTGAAGTGTCTGGTCTCCCTTTAATAGGAGACATTGCAAGAGGATCCTAGTGAAAAAAGAAAACCAAAGCTAATAAATGCATCTTGACTAAAAATATATTAAAAAGGACTTCATGGCTCTGATTCTAAAATGGTATCGCTTACCTTTTGTTTCTCGGGGCTGTGGTTCAGGGGACAAGTGACAGGCACCTGAATTGGAGGAATAAATAAATAGTAGCAAGAGATATAGTCACAAATACTAAAACTTAAATATGTCTCAAATAAGAAACAGCCAATCAGAAGCAATTGCAGCCTGCAATAGAGCAGGAGCAGATGCGATCTGGGAAGTCACTAGCGGTGATGGGACCCAGAACGTTCTTTACTCACTGGGGATCAATCTCGCGGGAAGCTTGAATTTCGACTTCTTTTCTACCATATATCTACCATTTAAGCGGAGGTTATGACTCGCCACGAATTTATTGGCATTCGTGCCTTACAGGAACATGGATTCATTGAAAATTTTAGGACTTCATCTCGTGAAACAAATAAAAGCTATGCAGTTGGAGGTTATGGACGTTTGTGTACTGCTTGTTGCCTACCGAGCAGGCGCTATCGCTGGGGATCCTACTTTCATTAAGGCCAAAGTTTCATGAGGCAATCTTAACACTCTGCAGCACCTTCTATGCGTGCTTCGATGCGCACAAATGCCTTCTAGGCATCTTTGCAACACTTAACTTCTTTCAGCATTAAACGCCATGCCTTACAAAAAAGGGAGCATTTGAATGTTCCCGCTCATTTGATCCCCAGTGAACCTTCATTTGTCTCGATGTGCTCCTGCTCTATGCATTCAGAGATATTTGGTCAGATAAGCTGGTGGTTTCCATGCAAAAACTTCTTTTCATTCCCACAAAACGTCTCATTATTATAAAGCCATTCGAATTTGCAGGGGGGCCCAATATAAGGAACCAAGGGTCGTTACACTGCACCTGGCAGTACAATGAGAGGGACAGACTTCAGATGTTGCAAGCTGCCGGCGTTCGACAACTGTTGGACTTATTTGGTTGCCGTCAATGTGTCTCCACTTAGGTTTAAGGGAAGGTTCTGGTGAAAATCTTGCCTTTTTCCAAATGGACCCCACTGTCATGATTTGTTCGGAACATAAAATCTTTTTTCGGG